GAGTTGTTAGTGTTTAATATTCACGAGTATGGCATTTGACAACATCCATTAAGTATTACATATATTACTTTATGTGAGTTATAATCTGGGTTCAATTCTTCGCTTGATCAATTAAAAATAAACATATAAATTGGTATAAAAAATTACACACCTACATAAATTGATCACGAAATCGATTACTTTATGACAAAATTGAATAAGCATAAGACCTTTTTTAAACACTGGTTGTAGTGGATTATTTTCTAAATCAAAATTAGCTTTCGATTTTATATTCTATTGTGATACATACACAATATCTGCTATCGTGAAGGGTCCTGCTGATCTTTTTTAATCAAAAACATTCAATAGCGAAATTCATCACAAAATGAAGAACATGCGGGCTTTTCTATATTTATTCGTACGTATTGTTGTTTGTCTAATTTCTCACGATACTCTTGTCAGTATTACGAACATTTATGACTAGCTGCGACTACGTCTGCTTTTATAAGATTAAATATGCCTATTTCCATTCTCGTACAATATATCTTTATGTCAAATTTCATTAATATCCGTTCTGTGAAGTCGTGACAGAGAGACACTTTTATATTTAAATATATATATACATATATATATGGATTAAGTACCAATAATACTTATATTCAAAATTAATTCTGCATCTGATATATTATTCTGAAATTTTGTGATTATAATTTCTGTCAGCTTCGTTTACAATATTAACGATAAAATTATTGCATGTTAAAATCGATACAATATTGTTCCTAAAGAAATAGATTTTCCTTAGATTAGTATGTACAATGATGTCTGACATAATCTTTTATATGTATACTACTATGCTACTATCTACAATATATTATATTACCAAACAAAAAGTACATATTTACATCAACTATTAATCTGTAGGTGTATTTACCTAAGATATGTCATGTTACAAAACTATAAACTAAAAAAAGAATACAATCTACCTAGTTTATTATTCTATTACACAAACATTTGTGTAACCAGTGAGATAATAAAAAAATACTAATAACGGCAACGGTAGTTAAATGATTGAAAAAATAAGAAAATCAGTCGCAAAGACTGCAGGTAGCCATTTACAAGTCTTTTTGTGCGCTCAATTGAAATACATTAACAGCTCTTTAGAATTTTAAAAACATTATTGTCCTTGAAATACATTCCCCTTCTGTTACAATGGTTGCTACTAATATTACTACAAAGAAATAATTGTCAAAGTTAACTTCCAACCAACTCCAAAAAGATTGAGTTAAATGTAGTTTCTGCAGAAAAATATTATATGTATAACGTCTAAAGATAATGTAATGCAATAGCATATCAGTGGAGAGAGGAGATTGTGAATAATGGGTATAGGTATATAATAGATAATAGATACATACGAGTATACCTATCTCCATGAAAACCGGCAGTATTTCTATAAGTATTATTACTAACGACCAAATACAACGGTTTTCTTAACTTTGCATTATTTGTCTAATAAGAAATAATCATAAATCACCAAAAAGGTTAGTTTGGGACAAATTGAGACATGTGGCTAACAGCTGCTGAGGTCCACGATGCAACATAATTTATTATTCTTTTTTGACATTCTTTTTTACAGTAGCCACGCTGACACGTGATTGCGACTTAGCGATATTTGAGTAAAGATTCCTTTTAGAATTTCTTAGAAGCCAGACCTAAATTAGGTGTGTATCTCATCTCATATTTCGTAAAATATGTGTAGGTATATGTATTACTACTACAGCTGTTTTTGCAATCTTACTCATTGGCTTACTCTCGCATTAGTCCCATAGGTATATTTATGTAACAGTCTTAGAATTTTATACAAACCATTACATATCTCAAATTACTAGGTAACCTAATCAAATGTAATGTTTATTCATCACTCTAATTGGAATACTTATCTACCTCGGCGTTTATTATAATAAATACAAACTACGTGGCAAGATGAGAAGTGCTATATCTAGCATAATCCTGAAGACATCCACGTCATGTCATCTGATATCTTTGAACACAAGTCATCCACATAATTACGAGAGTAAACATAGATTAGATGAGTAACTTCGGATGCAGCAGAGTTATCCGATTTCTTACCACGCACAATACAAACACAATTCTCTTTTTTTTATAAAATGTTTGAACTCAAACTCAATTCTTGCATTTAATCATTTTAGCCGTTTAGTTTAAACAACGTCAGTTTTTTTTACTCTATTATGCAGTTCAAGAGACAGATTCGGTAGAAAAGATGTAGAAAGAAATATATTTATATAAGTATAAAACTTACTTGTATGTATTCTAATATTATATTCAAAATCCGGAACGTTAGAATTACAGCGATCCACTTACATCGCTAAAGTAATCGTATAGAGGTTTAACTCAACAAGTATGTTATAAGAAAAGTTTTAAATTCTTCAGAACGTCTTCCATATTACAGCACATAGCGTGTGTAGTTCTATTGTCTGATAAGTAAACTTAGATTAGCATAATTTTGCACTCAGGAGTCATTCCGTAAAATGAAGCATATATTACAGTCTTTACACAAAAAGGAATGCAGACGAACTTGACAACGCTGACTTGTTTTGTTAATGATCTTGTCATTAACTGAGATTACTTTACAGATTGCTTCAGTTAAGAAATACCTAAAAACCAACAAATTTGCTATGTCCTTCTACTTATTACTCAAAAAGGCTAATAACGTTTGGGATGGATATTATACATTTTAGATTTAAATATATTGCCTGAACTGTTCTCTAAATTTTAATAAGTAAATGGAATATTGTCACTCGATATAATTAACTTATTATTTGTTTCAACAGCCTGTCTGTTTTGAAAGTATGTAATGTATGTAAAGTATTAGAAAACATACAGGACGTTATTTTAATTCTATACATAACTTACTAGGCAGTACATAGCTACTCGTACATATCCTTGTGATTCAACAGTAACAATACAGATGGACTTAAAGGTAAAACAAGAATAACAACATTATCATGGGCAACGCAACGTGGTGCTATAAATCAGTTGGCGCCAAAGACTGTTTGTATTATGCATGTCCCGTGCGATCGTCTAGGCCGGGACTTCTTTACCATTATTATATAATCAAACGGTGTTCAATTGCTTTTTAATGAATCATTGGCATTAAATCCGAAAACGTACTAATCAACGCAATACGTGCTATATACCTTTATTATTCTTCATCATACCTTAAACAAAATAATATAGGTATAGCTGAGTAGATAATCTGCAATTTATACACACTGGAGCGGAACATAAATCTAGGAGAGATTCCCTTCGGGTATTCTATATTAAACTATAACTATGGTAATTATAATAATAATACTTTATTTATAAAATCAAAGATTACAAAATTAAAAAGGAGAGTACATAATAGTTGAAGTTCATTAGCTAGGTACCTAATCAATGGCAGAAAGTTGTGCAATACAAAATGAGGACCCTGATATCCTAAACTAGGTTTACACCTGTGCTATAGGTATCAGCAAAATTGCATAGATTATTCAATTCGTAAAAGCTTTATTCAACTAAAATGCAGAATATCTAACTGTGTGTTAATTTTTTAATTGATAAACATAAAATGGTGCACACCGACGGAGCACCTGTGAAGGGTGATAGAATGAGGAAGAGGTGATGTCAGTAAGCTATTGCGACAAATTATGCAGGGTATTTATCGCGATGGTTTCCAACACGAACCGCGTGGAGACTGACTGACATGGTAAGTATACGTTGATGGCAATAGGTCATAAATCACCATTGCTAATAATATCTTTCCTACTTCCTGTCTAGTAACTTTCTTTTATAACATGTATTGTTTAAAATTAGTTTATAAGTGATATAATTAATATAAAGACATTATCTTTACAGCTAGGCCATATATTAATGTCAAATAGTTAATATCACATCTCATTATTTCAAAGCACGTTTAAATAACAGGTAAGGACGGCGGACGGTCGAGGACACATCTGCTAGACGTCATCAAATGAACCATTTCTATGCTTCATCACGACTATGCAAATGCAGCATAGAAATCAATATTAACATAGGACATGTCAGTTATTGGCACTTCGATACACAGTGGAAGTCGTACTTCCACATTGATAACATACTCTACAGTAATAAAGTATCTCCGCGACTTCATCTGCTTAAAATTAGTAGTAATTTAATAATAACTTCGATTTGTATTAAGATTTTGTATAGAATATCTTGAAGTCAGTTTCATGTGAATTTAATAAAAATTGTATTCATAAGTATAAAAAAATAAGGATCATTCATCTGCAAAATATTTCCGTTAATAATGCCTGTTTTTGAAAGCTGCGTCCTGGTTTACCGTTTAAAATATGGTTGTACAAATGCTAAATACAGAATTGGGATAAGCCTATTTTTCAGATGTGGCACGCATGATGAGGCATAAGCCTTGGATATCACGTAGGTAATGTATAGAGTAAGTCTTAAAGGGTAGCAAGTCGACCAGCCAAGCCAGGAATACTTAGTAGGTAGATCAGAATAAACAACTTTCTTCAAGTAGAAATGTGAAGTATTTTTTTTAATCTTCTTACTAACTTCACGGTTCCTTAATAAATTTGGTATTAAAAATTATTTTTTAATGTATCCTGGTTTTTAGCTTGATATAGTTTTTACAACTAACTAGTATTATGTCTGCGACGCTTTTTAAAAGTACATAAACCGGCTTAAGTATCGTCGCGTTTAGTACATTATAATAAACTTGAATTAAATATTTGAAGGTACTAAATTACATATTTAATTAATTAATATTTTAATTTATTTATTTATTAAATTATATAATTAATTAAATGAGTCATACAATTAATTTTAAAGTAATTTTGGATTGTTGTTTGTTTTCCTGCAGTGATATACATATTTTAAACATTTAATATTATGACGTACCCTTCTAATATTACGTAGGTTCCTACTACAGAGCAAATAAACTGATATAAATATATAAATAAACGTACAAATCTTACTTCAGCGCTCCCGCAGTAGTCACATGGCTTGTGAACACTGGAAAGTTTAGAACTCCTGTTTTTATAACTTTTACGGACATCCACAGAATATATCACGTTAACAATGTCACTAATACAACATCACACTTTCTTTTTTCGATTGTACTTGTCTATGTAGTGTAACAATTTAGTTTCGTGTAACAAATGTTTTTTTTAAGATCGAGGCAGCCTCAGGTAGGCAAACGTACGGACGTGCGCCGTTCACGAGTTAGATTGAGTTGTGTTGTGTCGTGGGCCGTGGGTCGTGGACTTGTTTGTGGTGGTACATTCAGTTCGTGCTTGCCGCCGCCCGCACCGCGAGATGACAGCTTCATCTTCCCTTCCATCCCTACTCCTGCAACGGCCCTCAGGATAATCGTAGCAACGAAATAGACTTGTTGTTGCACTTTTATTTTATTTTACTGGCCGTACTGCCAACCGGTCCGAGCTGTCTTCGACTGTTGGATTATTGTTGAGATAATAAGTTTGAAGTTATTCCGACCTATATAGGTTTTATTTTAAGGTTGTAAGCCAATTAATATTTTATTGAGAGATATTTGAAAAATCAAGTTTTATATACTCTTATGCGAATGTTCAATGTAATATTGTTAATTTAATTTCATTATCAATTTATAGTACCTAAAGAAATCCTTCTCAGGAATACTATATAAAATACCTACTTACTTACTAAATTTTATTAATATGACTTCATTGAAAATAGGTCCGACGAGTTAAGATTTTTGTAATCTAAACTTGCATATGTGCAGAATAATTTGTAGATTTTAGGAAATGGCCTTTTACCTATAAATATTTATACAGATATCTAGTAGGTACCTATCTGTATAAATATTTTGTATACGAAGTTCTTGAGAAAGTCATTATGAAGACCTTCACCGCAACTTGTTTTTTTGTTCGGCGCGGCGTGCGTTTGTGGTGTATACAAAAAATAAAAAAAGTTCATTTAAAATTGCGTTGATTGAGTTGTTACGGCGGAAGCGCTCGAAATGTGTAGTGATTTCATGCATTCGGTAGCTTTTTATGCAATACACGCTCAAATTAACAAATGAAAAATGTATAACTCATTAAGTAAATGAGATTTTATTTGTACGACTTGCAAATATGGTTGTGGTCCTTATGAGGAACAGTTTAACTGAACTGCAACGCTGTAAGAAAAAATACACCGTAACACTGATATGCGTAGCCATGTCTGTTGACAAAGGTCATAGACTACATACTATTCTGGTGTATTCTTAATTCACTAGAATTTTAAATTCCGTGTTAAGTCTGCGACACTGAAAACTAATGACAGTAATGGGGGTGTTATAAAACGGAAATTACGTAAAATCTGAGATAAGACTTTTTTGTGTTCTATTTTTTGTACTGAACGCCGAAAGATTTTTTTTAATTAATTCAAATGTTACGCATCGCACTGGATTAGGCTTTTTTAAATGGATGACAATGGAAAGGTGTACCCGCCTGCGCTAACGGTATAGGCACCTACTCGTACTCTGGGCAACAGTGGGGAATCATAATGCTATCATTAAGCCAGGTCCATTAGTCCATCGTGGTGAATTCAACAGAAATTTATTGCAATGATGAAAATCGACATGACATGAGACACCGGGAGCTTGATTAAATTATGAAGCTCACAGTTGCCGTCAGTTGCTAACAATTCTTGTTTCAGCAAAATTATTAGTTCACTATTTTTTTTATATCGGTCTGTATATGCTGGTGGAGGATTACACAATGAAGATGAAGGCAGGTCAGTCAGACATTCGTGGTCAATCTACCATGAACCAGGATGGTTTTCAGCGGACACCTCATTGAAGTCAAACAGACATCGATAGAAATGGGTGACTCCATTCATTACTCCTCCCTCCGATAGATTACTATTAATTGTAATGAATGATAATGGAATTATTCAGACTACCGCCCTATATATATATATACGAACGATCAGTCTTGATCAAAACCACAGAGTTGTAGTTAGTACATCGATGTAGGTACTAAGTACAACTCTGTGGTTTTGATCAAGACTGATCGTTCGCACCCTTCTAAGAGGGGGTAGGTTGGGGCCTCAGGGCGAACCCCTTTAAACCTTCATCAACTCTGGAGCCAACAACTTTTTTTTAAATATTCTAGTTTTAAACCTCTCAATAGTTTCATAATTCAAATATAGCCTGATATAGCCTGAAAGTTTTGTATGTCAATTTGACAGTGACTCTCTGTCACTGTCAAATTGACATTTACGATAATGACACAGTTTGGCTGTATGAGCTGAGTCCATTTGCCTTTGCCTGAAAAGGGAACACCGAACCAAAAAAAAATGACACAATGTTGACATTCTCAAGTACTTTACTTAGATTTAGGATAATTGTAGTACATGACAATTAAAAAGAACAAAAATAAATAGTCCCCAAGTAGTGCCACTACTTCTTGAGTTAGGTTAAGTCTACTTTAATAATATTCCTCGCAGACTTTTTTTTAAATATCCCGACCAAGAGGCTTAAATTCAATCACTCGGGGGTTGTTGCCCCCGGAATTGATACCGCATGCCGGGGCAAAGGCGTTAACCCCAAGGCCACAACCTTCACCCCCCTTAGAGTGTGCGGATGACCAGTGGATAAAAATAAAAAAATATTTACCTATCTGTCAATGTCTATAATTGTATCGTGTGGATAATTGTAACAAACTATCCATTTTTCATTATTAAATTACTGTTGACGGGTAAGTTCGTCACCTTCTAATTCATAAGAATACCGAGTCTAATAGGTACTTAAATTTAATAATATTTTATGTCATGTTTATATTTTATATTGTAGGCTATTAAATAACCTTTTTCCTTTTTTAAATGTAATTATATTTATCAATAACTTAAAGCCACATCTCTAATGTGTTGACCTGTGTCCCTAGTCCTAGTGTGGCCTACGTCGCCATGTAAGCTTAAACTCTGCGTACTATTCTATCAGGTCGGCCTCAACACGGCGGTCTCACTGGAAATATAGTAGTCAATTCCTGTTAAATTTGTTACAATAATAGTCTGACTAGTCTGACTTCTTATTCTCATTATAAAAAATTGTAAGGGGTAAATTAAATTAAGATCTAGCAACACTGACTTGACATTAAAAAATTGTAAATTCAAATTTCAAGTTCTTTTGCAAATGTACTTTGTTTATATATTATTAGAGTATTCTAAATTTAAATATGTAATATTTACTTATTCATTTTAATTTATCAATTGTTCATTTATTTTGTACCAGATACGCAAATATATATTATTTCATTTATTTTATCATTTGTTGTAAATAGAATATTGAGACGTTGAATTTACGTTTGTAATTCTGGTTTAAAGTAATTTTCTATTATTTACGTTTAAATTTATAGTTGTGAATTTTATTAGTGCTATCAATAATTATATATAGCTATTCCAATGACGTTGTGCCCAAAAAAGTATCTAATCAAAGACTTAACAGATAAGCCAACACCCCTAGATGTTTGGTTACAAGGTACAATTGAACAAACAGTAGGAAATGATATTTTAATAATTTCTGATACATCAGGAAGAGCAAAAATAACTAAATGTGAATCTGCTGATGGAATAATCAATAAGGATTCTATAAGAAAAGGTTAACTATTAATGCCAGTTCTACAATAGTGTAATCTATTGCATGATTTGAATCTAAGAAAGCAAGATGTAAAATTAATTTTTCCTGTATATTACAATTTCTGAATTTTTTAAAGCAAGACTTTTCTATCAAATGTACTATCTGCAATCTAATTCGCATATTTCAGCATTGGAAAGATACTCATTCATCTCAAACTACACAATCATACAATATTGATTCCTTCTACATCTGGAGTAAGTTGATTTATATAAAAATATTTTTTATCTCCTAAGATAATGTGAACTGTTATTGTTCTAGGAACATATTGCTGCATAATAGGGGTTGTAGTGAAAAAAGGAAAAATACCAGAAATACAAGCTTATAAATTTGTAGATTTAAACTCACAACCACAAATGAAGCTTGCTTGGGAAAATGAAGTTAAAGAATGTGATTTACTATTCCAAGGAAAATTAGTACCTTCAATAAAATAATACTTAAATATATTTTTTATTAGGTTGGCCAGGGCATTGTATGGTCCGACAGTACCCATGTCCCATTTACTTCCCCCATGGCAGTTGATCACCATGAGATAAAGTAAAAAAAAGTATTTTTAGGTGAATACAGACCAATAGCAAATACATGTTTATGTGGTAAATATCTAAACAAATTCAATTCATATAACTTGTTTCATTTTGTAAAGAATGTAATAGGAGTACATCACAACCCCTCATTTACTTTCCAATTCCTGTGATTTCACTGCCATAAATAATTTTTCAAATATATTCTACAAAGCATAGATTGGCCGAAAATTAACTTAACTGAACAGAAACTGTCTCTATAAAATTTTATTCCACATAGTAGATATATAAACTGATAAATAATAAAATTTTAACCTCGTGACCCCTTTTAACTTTCAAGCCCAATAAAAAGAAAAATCTATACAGATGATCTCTAACAATGTTACAGGTGCGTATACATCATTGTTAGAATAATTTCCGTTGGAACGCTTGGCCGTGTTACTCTCAGGAACAGCTTAATCTAATTGGTCACATAAAAGATACATCGATACATTGGTACATAAGAGCAAGATGTCGGAAGCTTAGATAGGAAGAAATAAAATGCATAAAGATATACAAAAGATATATTCCCTCACCTTTGTAGAAATATCATGTCATTGGAATGGAATCAACATTCATATAAAAAATATATATCAATAAAATAAATATAAATAAAATTGACAGATTCTCTGGTATTATTGTAGTGCATATTTCATCTCAAAATAAATAAATGCAGTATTTATATACCAACCCATTCATCATTAAATCTCATTACAGAAGTAATTCTTAACACAGTTAAAAATTTATAAACATAACAACTTAATATATAGGGAGTTTACAACTTGGCTTCAGACTGAAGCAGGGGTCCAAGTTTCTGGGCGAGCATCATGTTGCCTGCAATCTTGAGTTTCCCCTTCATGAATGCAACCTGTGGGCTTAGACTTCCAGATGCAATTTCTACCAGATCAGCGTCAGAAAGTGTCAAGGTTGTATCAGGCTTTCCACTCTGTGGTTCACCTTCGTAGGCTTCTCCCTTTTTCAAGTCCAAAGCTGTGAACAAAAAGTAACGATTCATTATTAATTACGTAGTTTAGAAGTTACAAATTATTATAATTGCCAAATAAGTATAACGATTTTTTATTAATATATGTACAAAAGGATGCTGAAACTGGTCTAACTTAGCACTCATTTATATAAGACTAAATATGTCGAAAACAAGTAAAATCCATTACAAAAGTACACAAGAAGAATGTTGAACTGAAAATATGTTGCTATATCCTCCGAGCATTATTGCCAATATTTTAACTCTTACCCCAAATCTATTAAGTAACTAATTCCCACAATCATTATAGATTAATGCAAGCAGAATACTCATCAATTATCTACATTTTAATTACATATACCTTCATTAACTAGTCTCAATTGAAAGATAATGAAATTTTAATTTATGTTTACCATCCAAGGTTGTCAATAAACAATTTGAAGGTTGGCTCCCAGGCAGTTGAATAAGTACAATTCTCTTACTGGTATACCCCAAATTATTAAACTTCAGTCTCATATAGGATATAAGAAAGAGTAGACTACGGACGTCTGCTCCTTCATCCCATTTTGTATGCTAGCAACGAAATTTATACCATAACCAACAATTGCATATGAGTAGGAACAAGACGCAAAGTCTTGCTATCTCGTTCTATCTTATATGTTACTATCGTGTTCGATCCTTTAATGAATTATTAGCCAATTATCTAGGGGGGTAATAATAATCAGTAGTACCTATCTAAATGACTGATCAGTATCAATACAATTAACATTACATAATTCAATACTCACTCCACTTCTTGACAACTTTGCCACTATCTGTGACGTTGTACAGGAACACTCCATTGACGCTCTTGCCCTTAGCCGGGTTCTTGGCGAGCTCATCCTTCATCCTTGCAAACAGACCATCACTCTTCAATTCACTCGCAGACACGGGTGAGCTGGTAACATTGCCCGTGACAACATTTTTCAAATCCACGTAAGCACCTGTTATATGACAAACCAATATATGTAAAATGTATCTTCAAATTATGTTATCTTTACATAGTATAAAATGTCGGTTCCGCTGTCTATTCGCTTAGATCTTTTAAACAATGCAACGAATTTTAATGCAGTTTTTATCAATGTTAGTAATTCAAGGGGCAGGTTTAAGCGTATAATATATATACACCTGTGCGAGGCAGATGCGGGAAGATCTTGTATAAGAAAGATGTCGTGGTTAACCCCATACTTGTGATGGCAACATTTCTCTGAATATATGTATTTTAATTCAATGTTAAGTCAAAGCTAGCTTACGCTATCTTTCGGATTAATTTCTTTTTTCGGATTAATTAATTTCTTTATCGGTGTTTCAATCATCAGAATAAGTCACAAATATAAATTAACACAGAAATTTATTGAAGTCGGCTAGATAACTCATTACCTTTGGATCCTGATAGGTATAGTAAACCACTAGGCCACATCGACACTTTCATTGTAGAATTATTTTGAACTATAATAGAAGCGGTGCGTGCTTCTAACTTGATACTATAAACTGTAGTACTTCATAATACTTAATACGCGACGAACCGCCGGTTACAGAATCGTTAATTGCGACCTCGTGACACCAGTGATTTAAATACATACAATAGCGTGACTGCCTTATTAGACCGTACCAAGTCATATCATTATCAACTGACTTAAAAAATTGACGTTTTCTTAATCATTTGTTATGTATAGACCTTACCAAATAAATTATTTAACTAATTTCATCGTCAGTTCGTATTTAAGGAATCTTAAGTCCCACAGAATACTTATGCATAGTTTTTAATGAGTGATAATGGAATGGTACATCCAAATGCGCTAACAGTGTGCGCTGGTGGTGTTTCAGTCAAGGATAATAAGATGAGCGTGTAGTCAGATCGTTAGCCCACCGGGGGACTGCGTGGAGGAAGATCTAACATGGTACACTAGTCACATTACTAAAAAACCCATCCCCTCATATATACATAGTATATGTACTAGTTATAATATGGCTATACTATACTATTCGTGTTCAGCATTTTATGACCGAAAGGAAATAATCTATGAGTATATAATAATAAGTAAGACGTAATCTAACCTGAAATGACAGTGGTGCCGGTTTCCTTGACCTTGGTCTGGAAGTGTACACGGCGACCTTCCAACCACATCTCGGTAGAAAGAGTTTGTCCAGGCATGACGGGTTTTGCGAAACGTGCTTTTAGTGCTTTCACGTTAGATGGATCGTTGCCACCGTATCTGTAAAATGATTTTTTTAAATTAAAATACTTAATTGTAACATGGGTCACGCCTTGGGCCAAACCATACGAAGGTTGTCTGCTAATCTTTTTTCATTACTTCTTATATGCAAAACATGACAAAATAAATATAACTGTCATGTCCTTCTTATAAGGAGTAATGAAAATTATAAAGAGATTATTCCTAAGTTTCGGGTTTGAACTGTAGTCGCTAAGAACCTATAAGACTCAGCAATCGTCTGCCGTTGAATAACACTGCTTTATTTCTTTCTTTCGCTTTCTGTTAGTTCTGCCATCAAACAATTGGAAAGCAAGCTGTGTTTAGTTCAAAGGATGAGATATGTCAATTATATCTTATGATATCTTAAAATCAAGTAAGGTGGCATAAACATCATGAATTGCAGAACATATAAGGTACTTATGACAGTAGGCATTTTTAGATATGTATATGAATTAAATTAAATAACATAGTAAAACTCCATTCCATTTTTTATTACATATTATAAACTAAAAAATAATTATAAATTATAAAATAAAAAATCTTAATGACTGTAAGAAAAAAAAAAATAACTTACTTGAGGAGAACGTGTCTTGCGGAGAAACCAAGTGACGCGAGTCCGTGTAGTATGGGCTTCTCGTATCCACTGACCAACGCTACATTTTTATCGATGTGTAGCGGATTTAAATCGCCTGATAACCTACAAATATTTATGATAAATAAAAAATCTTATCTATTGACGTCCAATTAGTAATTTATTGAAACTTTAGCACTGAAATAATTAGATAAGTAATATCGTTCATAGTTTTGCCTCCGTGATTTTATTGAATATGGAATAAATATTTGACATTTCAACCCTCTTTCATATATTCTTTATAATTGAGAATTTTTACTGTCATAGAAAGAGTCATTCTTCCTACATATATATACTAAATAGCGATTACATACGGATTTAAATAAGATGAGAATTATGCCATAGTAGTGTGCCAAATACCACAGACCCTGGTTCTAAAGATGGGTAGCACAGGAAGGATCTATTTATTACTTAATTTACTAAACAACTTTGTGTTTAAACAATTTTAAAGTACTACGTGAAGCATTTTTAAGCTTGTTTTTTTTAAACAAAGATTTTGCCATAGGTCTCTGGTACATTAGTACTACTAAACTATAGTCATAATACTAACACATATGAGGAATAGTATTACAGAGAATTATATAAGAGAAAATGAAAAGAAACATAATTGAACATAATATTATAGGGTTTAATCAAATAGTATGCAGTAATTTAGGACGAGTAGACAACAAGGTCTTAATAAATAGGAATATAACGATTTATACATATATATATTTATTTTAATATTTAATTTTAGTTATAAGTTACATTACTCATTCACATCCTGGCATCGAGGTATCGTTTAATTACATTCATACATAAATTTGATCGACTCATTTTATGCATAGTGTAAAGTCCGCTAAAAATCGTTGTCTGGCTTATATGCAGTGTGGACAATTTATCTTATTATTTTGAACATTTTTTTAAATATTTTGACTAATATATTAGTCAAAATGTTCAAATTAAAGTTAATAATAATAATAAATCTGAACAATCAACACAGCGTCATCTAGACCCAAGTTAGAGCTTGTATTACAGGTACTAGATAAGTGAATGTCAATACATTAAAATTTTAAGGAAGAGGGAAGGCATTGCTAGTAACGGAGAATAGTTATCCTAATTTTACTACCCCTGGAAGCCATCTTTGTTATTTCCGGGTGAAAACGTCACGATGGGCTAATTGTTGTAGAAATATGTAGTAAAACTATTTATGACGGGAAAAATGTATTTAATGGTAAGATGGTAGAGAGTGAAGTGACATAATATAATTTTGTTTTTATAATTTTGATTAGAGAATACAAGAAAACTTTAAATATATCAAAAGAGTTTCTCAACACTAACAGACCCTAACTTCATGTCCATGCTATCGTCGCTGGTGCCCCGTATGCGTATACAGGATACACCATTACCATCCATTAAATATATAGAACGTCCAGACCAATACAAACACATATATTATTATTATTATTATTACCGCATCGGTTTTTCATGATGTTGGCCGCATCTAGCCTTTACAGATTTACTGGTTTTTGGAGTTGAGCTGACTGAACCGATAGTGATATAACGTCTCCAAACCCTTACGAAAAAACTTACTTATGGAGCAGCTACATGCTAACTCCTGCTTGACGGATACGACTCTAGAAGTTTCAACACTCGGAACAATCTGTCCTGATTTTTATTCCCGTTGTAATAGGATAGGAAATTGATCAGAGGAGAATTATTGCTTCAACTATATGAAGAATGATATTATTTCTATTACATTAACAGTAACATTGATGTATAATATAGTAAATGGAAGTAAAGTCAGTATTGGGTAAAGTTTTGTGCAAACTTCTATAGTCCAATGATAACAGCGCGAATTGTTTACACTAGTCCAATATATTGGTACCTACATTGATAATATTATTATGACTGATTTAATTCTATCGTTTGAAACGTTGATAAACAATCTAGTTTTATCACGTAATAGTGACACTGTGTACATATTACTGACGTTCGTAATTATTATAACTTCAACTAATAAAAACAAGTACATAGTATCTATTTATTATCTTTGGAAAACAACAGTCGCAAGAATTGAACTATTCTATGTATAATATACAACAAGACGTACTACATTTGAATATAAGTCCACTTTTCAATAATATAGATGTAACTTGCCCTAAAAACTAGGATATATTTTATATCTAGGAAATCGGTAGACATTACATCTACAAAATATTTTTAAGATAAAAATATTTTTGTTATAATAACAGGTACCTTGAGTACATTAGAGTAGTCAGGTCGTATCTAAATATTTATTTCACAGACGAACTGTAATAGTGACATTTGTTACAATTTGGCGTTTAAATCAAATCAACAATTATTTATTTATGAAGGACATTTTAGTCGCTTTTAAATTTTTTTATATTAATGCTTTTCCTATAGTCCAGTTCAGTATACAGATCAATTCAGAATCAGTGGAGAAGAACTGGCAAGAAACTCAACACTGTATACGTATGTAGGTGTCTATATGTAACAATAAACAAAAATTCTGTGCATGTACAACTATTGCCATGCACATTTGTCATTTAAGTAATCGTTAAATACGTAATAGGCTTCGTTAAAGAAATACGATTTAACGGATGTTATAAATTTACTAATGAATTAATCAAAATAAATTTTCTATGTACCTAAAAAGTATTAGAAATTAAGTACCACTTTCACCTTTATGTGTTTGATATATATATTAGATGAAAGTAACATTAAATGTACGATAATATTACATACCTATACAAAGCGGCCTGGTCCTCAGCAGTGCGTTGTTCGACGACAGCGTCGGGGGCTCTCTTCGGCACGGGTTGGACATCAACTCCGCGGCTACTGGTACGCTGTCCACCGAACCCTCCTTGGCCAACCACGAATATGTGCTGCTGAGTGCGGAATAACAGCCTTGTTTCCTGGTACACCTCGCCTGATTAAAAATAATTTCATGGTGTTTTAATAAATAATACCGTGTTACCACAACAAAACAAACTTTAATCGCTTTATTAAGGATAACTAAATCAATGTAAGAAAATACTAAGATATGACACATTAAAATACACCGAATAAAGAACCTCTTCCTTTTCGAAGTCGGTTGAAAATATTATACAAACATTTTAGATACTAGAATAATCTATGTTTTTTTAATACTGAGTATTTTGTTATAATGGGATTACATATCTTAGTTAGTCATTATCTGATAAAGCACTTCCAGCAAAAAAGTTAATGTTTCTAATACCTTTACTAAAAAAAAGGAGTTCCAAGAAGAATTTAACTTCAGCAGCAATTTCCATGTCTTTTCTCGGGCGTCAAGCCGCATATTAGTGAATATAACAACTTTAGTTTTGTTCATAAAGCACACGGTAAAAGAAAAATAGGAACAACTTAAGTGTAAAAAGAACAGTAAAATATAATTAAGAACAATAAGGTATATACTATAAATATACCTTAATAATAATACTTACTGTTCACAATAACAACTGCATTAGCGCCCTTATCCAAAATATCCGCAACATAAACGCGTGTATCAAAAGCACCTTCAGTGCCGGGGAAGTCATCAACGAACTCAATATATTGTTCTCCATGAAGAATCTAAAATAAATATACACATTTGAATATGATTTAAATATATGGATATTTTTACTTTGCTATTTGAGATATCTTTGAGCTAATTCACAGTCATAGCTTTCGAATCTCAAGACATTTAAAAATTATATTAATTCACTCTTTCTCTTTTGATAAATATTCATGATTAACGGGAAAAAAACGAATGTGTATTTTTAATACTATGAAACTATACGATTTCTGTACACATTGTTAGTTTTTAGATTATTAATTCCTTTCTTTTCTTTGATAATATTCATATACATAATACAGATACCACCAATACGCCTTGCATAGTTTGCCGTGAAAAATAAAGGTAGTTTAGATTTTAAGCTTATGGAATGAAGAGCTTCCATTAGCTTAAAATTTAAACTGTTCTAATAATATAGATTGATTATTATCTATTTATTTATTAGGTTCATAATTTAGTAGGTATGTTAACATCAAACTTGCGGTACATTAAGATCGAATTTTTGGCGCATTTGAATGCAGCATATTGTTATTTAAGTATGTCGAGGTTATCTTGTTTACCAATACACACCACTATTCATATCTACGAGCAACGTTTACCGTTTTTATCAGATAGACTATGAATTTCAATCTCTGTATAGTGTGTAATGATCAAAACATTTTCTCTTATCCAACAATATAAAAAGAAAAGATTTAAATTATTATAAAACAGTTAGTATGTGGTAATTTAAAAATACTGGACAAATTAAAAATAAACTTTCACGAATACATATCTTCATTATCGATGAATAACATACACGGGTAATATTCAATAAGATTAATTAGTAATGGATAATATTATAATACTGTAGAAATTATTTCTATATTGTATATACTTACATTGGTAAAGTCCGCTACCTTTCCGGGAGGCATGGCAGCGGGCACTACGGGGGCTTCCATGCACATTCCCGCCAAAATGAAGTACGTTGGTAAGACGGAGAAGTTCTCATCAGCCTCATATAGGAATTTCAAGTCGCTAGAATTCGACACAGAGGCCCCAACTACAAATTTTAAAAAGATATAAATAAGTATAATATTAATTTACACAAATTAATCAAATATTTCTAATAGATATAAGATACACCAGCTGAACCCTGTTATAAGTTTTTTTTATACGCGCTGGTGGTAATCCACTCCTTTCAATAATCAATAATGTAAATTACTTTTTGTTGAGTACCGTAACACCAACCACGACAATGTATTTTCATCTTATATATTTTATACGTATTTTTATGTATTTGAGGTATAAGTAAAATAGGCCATGATGAGTTGCTTGAAGTAAAGAAATACATAATCAAAATATATTACTACTATCCCAATCAATTTTTTTGTAATATCATTGAATTCTAACTGGTAATATTTTATTTAATTAAGCAAACTATGCTAATAATATTGCGTTAATAATGTAAGATTATGCATCATCTCTCAACTGTATATGCGTAGTTGTCGGATGTATATAAATAGTTACAATTTATGACTAGTCATCATAGGTATAATGTATATAAAACATTCAAATTTCATGTCTATCAAGATGAACACTAGGAAGATCAAGGTGCACGTATTTTCCTCTGAAGCATGCCTGAAAAACCACAGTGATATAACACGTGCGTTTAAACCTTTTCGGTGATGCGCATACTTAGCGCACTGTAGTCTGTGTCAGTGGTGGATTAACGTGCAACATTTCGTGCATTGTAATAAAAAAAAAGTAGCCTTTTAGACATTCTTGTGATATTTTTTATACAAAATGTCATTGTTATTGTGTAATTTCTTAAATCTTTTAACACAGAGTTATTCTATTTTTTTCAATTAATCTGTAATCACAAATTGTAGACAAACGACTTTGTATCGGTCTACAAATTAGTATCGAAGTATAAAACGTACGTTTTACATTCTTTTTACAAAAATCTTATAATGATGATAGCTATCCTAGTTGTACTGATTAAAATATATTAAAAAATACGCGATAATAGTAATATACATTATCATTCATTAATTAAGTAGATATTTTAATGAAATCGTTTTTCATAAAAAACATATCTACAGGAATCAGCTGCCGGATCTTGTACTATATCTAATCTAATTATTTCTTCAATGTTACGAGGAATTTCAATTACCTAACCAAAGTGACGCTACTTTTTAAATTAAGACATTCAACATTAAATTGATGAAGCAATTTAATGTTGAATGTCTTAATTTAAAAAGCCTGCTTTTACTTTATGTTACTTCTTGACATTATTACTTCTGTACAGAAAATTTATTCGATTGATTTTTACATAAAGTGACAGAAATGAGAATCTACACCTTAAGTGGAACTTTTGTAACCTCATTTAAATTAAAAACTCAGTTAGGTAGATGGTCGTCTTATGGCCTTGTATGATATATTCTATTTAGTAGTTAACAACTCACTAATCAAAACAGACTTAAAATATGGTACTGTAATCAGTCTATTTTATAAAAAAACATAGTAAAACAAAATTATTGAACAAGTGCAAATTTGTATCGTAATTAACTAGTTCAATTTAAGAACTTAATCTGTCTACATCGTGACTATATCAAGTACAGTGCAAATAAAGATTTATTCTATATATTTAATAGAATTATTTTGAATTGAAATACAATATATATATTATAAAATGTTTACCTCCGAGTGCGTACAGGACAGCGTCTTTGGAATTATATTCGTACTTGGACCAATAGGATTCTCGGCCATTCTCGTCTAACTTCGCGCGGTCCTCAAATTCCTGCGAGACATTAACAATTTATAGTGTAAGTGGAATCCATTATAATACATTTACTTATAAAATGAATATTTATATCTTGTTACTATGCGACATTAATAAATACTTAATCGATATATAAATAAAAACATTTTGAAATTACACTTTCCTCTCTTATTCTAACTTGCTTTTCTTCTTTTAAAGTAAGGATATTAAAATAAAACTAATAAAAATATTTTGCACTACTTTGTAAACATTGTATAATTGACACTAGTGTCTCTCGAAGGTTTTATTTCTATGTAATTGTTACAAAACTTAGTAGCAAGTAATGTTACTATAAGTATTTCAGTACATTCGCACCGACCCTAGGTCAGCGATATCTTACATTGACATGTTTCTGTATATAATTTATAATATATTATTGTACGTTTGAACATATTAAAAACTATATGACGGCCGCGGTGCTCTGGTGATTTAGCACAATTACTGCCGATGATCGTGGGTCGATTCCTCGCACAGTACAAACATTTGTATTCATGAGTATAATTGTTTGTATTTGTCTAGGTTTTCTATATATATTGTATATAAAAAAATGTATCTAAGTATTTATATCAATTGTCTAGCACATTACACAAGCTCCACATAGCTTGGAACTCTGCTTAGATTGCGCAGTGGTTAGTTCTGGGGTTATTATTCTAATTATAAATTAATAAATAATTCTTTTGGTAATAAATAATTTAAATATACCTGTAATCTTTCGACTAAGTTGACGGTAACGTTGGCGATTGGGGAAACATGTTCAGCATTCCTCATGTCCACTACTTTTGGCCATTTTGCTTTGACAGACTCAATAGTCACTGGGTCAGCTGGCTTGTCCCTATATCATCGAAAATAAAAAAATATATATATAATATCTTGGACGTGTTTAATCACGTTTACCTCATCGTAAATATTCAATCAATTTATAGATTTAATATTACATTAGAAGATTATTATTCTAAAGAGGTGTCGCCGTAATGCATGCATGCAGTATGTTAATACAGCATGTGTATAGTACTGTCAATTTAGCTCTGTTTGATTTTTTTTGTATTGCTATTTGATGAGTTGCAGTTCTATGTAATTTTCGATGCTTAGTTTTTAGTAGTAATTTACATGACAGAAAATGTAAATTCTATGAATGATAATCATAATCTTTTAAATTATAAACAATCACTATGTAGAATATCCGAAAATCCCAGGAAAAATAGCCCTAGCCATAATACAGATATAATATATATACAGAATACATACCTGAGTACACTGCCAACAGATCTCACTAGATGTGCTTTATGTGCAAATCCTAAGGTGGAGTCAATCACTTGTGCGGTATCCTCGAATGACTCGTGCACCATATAAGCCTACAAAGTTACATTTTAATGGAACAAAACTTATAAAAAAAAGTCTTAAAAATAACACTTGTCGAGTCTTTATTTTGTATGTAACATACTGTTTTATTTCAAAACGAACATAAGTACACTTTCTAATTTGGAATTTAAGTTACATAGTATCATAGTTATGAGGTTTAGATAAGTTATGTTTCCAACTCTAATTCCAATTCCTACTGAATAATGCTTCACGAATTAATATTAATTCGTGAAGCATTATTCAGTTGGAATTATTTTCTAATTATGAATTGTGCATCATATTTTCTATCAACCGGTGGTTAATTCATTATAAGCGTATTTATTGAATTTTACGTACGTATGTATATATTTTATTTATTATATAACAAAAGCAGTATAAATGATATACTTACAACAACAGGCGCAATAAGTTCTGGTTTCATGGCGTCGAACATATCTGGGGGTAGGATGCCCTCAGTGAGACGAGATGCCGCTGTCGGCACAATTGTGTTAATCTTAATGTTGTATTTTGCACCTTCCAACGCTAATGTGTTCATAAATCCGACTAGACCCATTTTTGCCGTGCTAAAATAAACGAGTAAAGCAATAAATGGTTAGCCACTTCTCATTCCGATGTTTTCAGGTTTAATTCCTATAATGCAATGCAATTAACCTATAATGTAAAAAATAATAGTATTCTTTTCCTTTAATATGGACTGCGTATCTTCTATATATATTAATTATTACGAAAATATATTAATTACTAACATTGTAGTATTATCATAGTAAAAGTTTTGGTTAGTTCGAATGGCGCTTTAGATGATTCAGTCCAGTCAGTGCCAGTCATTTACTCCGAAATATGTTTAAGGATATCAATAGAAATTTTGTAGTGTATAAATGTATTATTTTTATGAAACAATAAATTACGACAGACTGTCTATCTGTGGTATTGTTGACCGGGAGTATTACACATAAATTGGAAAAATGGAAGTAAAACGTCCCAAATAAACTATTTGACTATTGAAATAGCTAATGCAAGTACAGTGTCACCAGTCAGCAACGTTAGGAAGTGAAAAAACGAGTTAACCCTTCGGGGGTCAGCAAGTGTCACCATATGAAGGTTTTTAATAGATAACTAAATAGCGCTAAATCTTACCTGTAGTTAGCCTGGCCAAAATTGCCAACCAGACCAGCATTGCTGGAAGTCATTACAATGCGGCCGAAATTTTGTTTCTTGAATGTCTCCCATGCTGCCTGTGTTGGCTTGAAGGAGCCTTTTAAGTGGACTGCTTGAATCAGGTCCCAGTCCTAATTATATAATAATAACAAATTATAACAATCATTCATTGTATTTTAAACGACATAACATGCACTATTTATTTGTGTCCTTCTATACCTCACTATACTGTCTAAATCTTCAGGAACGTCTTAAATTGCCTTCCGTAATTCAACTATCTAGAAAGCGCTGTACGAAATTGATAAGCTAGAGCAATGTTTCAAATTAGACTTGATTTCTTGTATACTACCCACTAATATCATCGCTAAATATAAATACTTTCAATAAAAATGTTTCAGTTGAGTTTCTTCTCAACTGAAATTAGCATATCTTTATAGTGATAAACTTTAAGAGTATATACTTTTAGGACTTTGACTTTGAATAGTATCTGTCTTTTTTACTCGAAAGTATTTGCCTCCATTTTAGAAGCGTATCTACTTTAATTTTGTCAACATTGAACTCGTTTTGGCAGAACAATATTTTGAAGTATATATAGTTCAGACTTTAGCAGACACCGGGCCAGTTACGTTCAAGCAAGAATGGTTAAGTAACTATTATCTATAGATATCATACTGAATACTTTATTGTACTATCTATTAAATATATAATAAAACTCAAGTGCTATGCACTGATAAGTTATTATTCAGTGATAATTAATCAGTGTAAGAACTATAAATACATTCAACACTTATGATTATTACATACATTATATAGTGATGAATCACTAACAACGACTAAGAATTCGTGTATGATGAAACATATTTTTTAATGGCACGACCATTAGAAAATATGTTTCATCATGTATGAGGCTACATGTTTATTTTTTGTTAATGTTTTTTTTATGTAATTGAAATGGCAAACAAACTGACGGCCTACTTGATGATTAATGGCAACCGTCGGCGTCGCCTATACAGGAAAAGTGCGCCAGGTAGATCACATTATTGTATAAACCCAGTAATATTTTTTTAATGGGTTATAATGGAATGGTGCTCCCATCAGCGCTAACGGATTACCCTTGGACACCAATGGAAGATGAGATCAGACCATTTAGCCCATCGTGAAAATTCACGATTTCCAGGGTATTCCACGTGGAAGTCAACCTGACATAGTACATTGCTAGCTAAATAATGGGTTCATTAATCACAGTCATTACTAACAGTTCCATATCTAATCCTAATATTGTAAGTACTAGTTTTATGTTCTGTTCTGATATTAAAGTACATGATAATTTCTGGTTAAAATTCGGGATAAAGAAATCATTCGAGTAAATTACAATATATATATATATATAATCTATGAAGAATTAAAGAAGACACTAATAATAAAGTCATACTACAGAAAAAATAATCTCAGACAGATATTAATCCCATGATCATAAAAGTATTTAACTAAAACTAGTTTAACATCTCTAATAGACGCTAAACAAACATGCATTAATTAAACAGCGCAGGAGCGCAGCAATGTTTAACACTTTAGTCAGAGTTTAGTTCTATGCGTATTTATTTAGAGAATGTTTGTAATATTTTTTGTAGTAGGTAAGACTAAATGTCTATGTAGCACAATGCCTACATTTTTTTTTCTACTTCAAATAAATGAGTTCTTTGTATTAAAATACGATTATAGACTGCATTAGATATATGTAGTTTGTAAACTTATAAGAAATATTTCATGTTATGTTAGACTGTTTTCAATCTATCATAGATAAACAAATAATACTAGATACTAATTATTTCCAGTATTTTTGATTCATTTAATCAAAAATACTGTTACTGTAATACACGATTTTAAAATGTTTACACAAACAAGTAACATTATCAACACGTTAATGAATATAAAATATAATGTAATCAGTATGCAAAATAGAATAGCAGCCAAAACACAAACATAAAAGAGATAATGACAGTATATAAATAAGAACTATACCTATAATATAAATCTATTTTAGCATGTCACAGTGGAAAATGTACAATGACTCGTCTCCGCAGACGTCATAAGTCATTTGGGTCACTGTGGGACTTAGGTTATATACCAACAGACATATGTGGGAGAACTATGTACGGGTTAACGAAAATGTGAGCGCAAAGTGCGGCCTTCCGCCCCGACCGTGCACTCAATGAACTCGGTAGAGATATTTTTAAATAGCTCTAATAGCTTAGCTTAAGTTAGTTAGGTTATGTAAATCAAGGATACAGGCATGATTGTACAATATTAGTAGTAGATTGTACTAGAAGTACAAAGTACAGGTACTACTAGACATTGTGTAAAATCGTCTGCGTGGTAACCTGTCTTACGCATCTCAGTCAGCTGCAAAATAGCTTTATAAGTTGTCTTTCTGGTGAAACTTTCAGGACTAACATTTTAGTTATCTAACTTAGGTAACAGTAAGGAGTACTAGAAATGTATAGAGTAATATAGTACTATAGAAGCTTCATAAGACGACGCATAGTACGAGGTGTTTTTAAAAATGTATGCTAAGATTGCCACTTTCGTATCGTTTCGACAGTCATGTTGTGTACCATTCCAAATACATAAAAATACTATTGTAGTTTGAATGAAATGAAATGAAAATGCTTAAATTTCAAAACATCACAAACACTTAGGTTTATTTGAATATTGTACAAAAACCGTACCTGATCAGACATCTTCTGGAAAGACCTGTCGCGAAGTATACCGGCATTATTGATGAGAATATCAACGCGGCCGAAATTATCTAAGGCTGTCTTTATAATCTTGTCTCCTTCAATCACGTTGTTGTAATCAGCAACCGCAATACCACCTGGTGAATAAAATAACATTACTGTAGTGAGGGAAGATTCTACATACATATATAAATTTATAGTAAACTATAATAATACTAACTGTGCCCGCGATTTCACCCCCGTGAAATTTATAGCCTGTGTTATTCTGATGTAGAAGCTATATTATTGTAAAGATTCATTAATATCAATTCAGTAGTTTTTGCGTGAAAGAGTCACAAACATACATCGATCCCAATTCTTCTCTGAAATATATGAATTGACAGCAAGGAATAATTTGTATGAGAGAAAGAAAGTAAGACTTTTAGATTTTTCCAGAAAAACTATATAGCTTTTCTCTTTTGCATTAAAAGGTAATTTGGATAGTTTATAATATCCATCTCCTCTCATACCATTTATGCTAATAGTTACGATCAAGGCAAAAAAATAAAATAATAAAGGTAAACGCCTCAGTTACCATAAAACTATTTGTGTTACGATCAGATTAACTATATTAATAAGATAAACCGAGACAGAGATAAAAGTAGACATACATATAAATACGAAAGTGTGTTTGTCTGTTTGTTTGTTACCTTATCACAACTAAACAGTCGGTTCTTATTGTAAGTGCATTTTGGTAGTGAAATCTGACTGTATAATTCCATAAAATAACAATTCTATAAAAAAAATCCGGATACAAATATCTATTGCAACTTTAAAATAGAGAGAAACTATGAAAAACATATCAGTGATTCAAAAGATTTACAGTACAAGGACTAACTGCAGACAGATAAGATTATTTTAAAAAGAAAAACATATTACAACCAGAGCTTATTCTGCATGTTACTATTATATCCCACATGAGAACCTGTTAATCTCACCTAAATCAGTTGAGTAATGAATGCCTGACTTATGCATAGTTTCTAAAATTGGTAGAAAGTAGTAATAGTAATAAGTATAAAGTTAGTAGTAATAGTCTAAAGTTTAATTTTGTATTACAATAAAAATTATCTTCGAGGTGATCCTAGGAACAAAAAGATATCGAAAACAGTGTTTAGAATATGTTAGTAAATAAAGATGCATAAGATTCTACAAGTAAATACAATCCATGGATATTTTTAATCTATGATGTAGAATTCAAATGTTGTTTAGAAATTATTTGTTATGTAAAACCACAGATAACATAATATTACATAGTAAAACACAGAATTTTCAATATGTTAAATACTTTGTAGCTATGTACAGAAATTTAATTGACTTACTATGTTTTATAATTTAGGGTCAATTGGTTCGACTTCATTCAGAAGTCTTCTTCAATTCTCATACATAGTTATAAACTATTACCAAAATGAACATAAGCCTTAAAAATATTATAGTAAATATTATGTTGTTACCCAGGACTTTGCCTACTGTTTTTGATATAAATGATAGCCTATGTTCATCCTGATGATACAACATCTCTTTAAATCAAATTTCATTGATCTATTTACAAAGTTTCACACTTATAATATTGGTATAGATGAGTGTGAATATTCCAAAAATATGCACTATGGGACTTTAAAAAGTAATATAAATATTCAAAACAAAACATCCATTATGCATGAGCTACTCTCTTCCGAGAGTCTCCTCTTTCACTGTGAAAAACAATATTTGTGACATTTTCTGGTGGATATATATGAATTATCATACATGGTAGTTTATTTAACTAGTACCAGTACTTTATTTAAATTAAGTAGATTAATCCATGAAATATAGTGAATTCACTGAAAGAACATTTGACTTTGGAAATTGTTGCATTTATATACAACAACATTATTGCTATGGATGTCAAAATTTGAAATTCATAAACATGTATTACTTATTATTTTATTTTAGGTGAATTTTAGTACTACCTTTGTCTGATATCAAATACTTTATAACATAAATAATGATATTCAGCACTTAAATACCTATTGTTTGTAATCATGATAAAGTCCACAATGTTAATTAAAGCCATTGTAATATATTAATTTATGTTTGTTCCAGCAAGTAGGTATTACTTGTTGTATCACATAGTGATAAATTTTATACAAACTTATCAGAGTAAAAATACATATATTTGTTATTAAATCTATACAACAAATAATTGTTATATTAAAAATTTGCATTTGGCATGCCTATGCCATAACATATAATGATGGAGTTTTCTAATTATTATAATAATAAACTGATGGCTTTCAGACATCACTTCCTAAACATATATTTTAAATTAAAGATATCAACTCTGAAAATTAGATTCAATATTTTTCAAGAATTACTTCCCCACCAACTCAGTTACTAAATTAGAGTTAATCTACACATACAAGAATATAATACAGTATAATATACATATGTATATATCTATAGTGCATAATAAAACAATACTTCCACCAAGGACTGAAATTATTTCATAGAAAAACACCTGAAAGATACCAAAACAAATGGCAGTTCATCCTAAACTTAAGCTTTAATATGCATTATTACAATTGTATATAATGTCATTTGAACACAGAAAGACCAGAGTTTCAAATCAAAATAATATATTCGTGTAGGACATTTTAGCTGCTTTTTAATGTTAAGTTTTTTGTATTAATATTTTTCCTTACCGTCAATACCATCCCTACAGTTCAGTATAAGGACAATTGAAAAGAACTGCCTTACCAGTATTGAAAAGAACTGGTAAGTAACTCAACAGAATTCCTTTTTTTAAATTAGTAAATTTACATTGTACATAGGTGTCTATGTCTAACATTAAAGGAAATACAACTGCATGAGCAACTATTACCATGCATGTTTGTGATTTTACTCTAATTGTTAAAGGAATAAAGATATTTTGATTTAATTTAATTTGGTATCTGAATTTCAATTTAACATGATACTTACCATTATCCTTAATTTCTTTAACGACAGCATCGGCGAAGGTAGAGGTACCACCGCCATCTTTGCCGCCTCCAAGGTCGTTCACTACCACTTTGGCACCTCTTGATCCCAATAAGAGTGCGTAAGCCTTTCCGAGACCGCCACCGGCGCCGGTGACTACGGCAACACGACCGTCGTAGCGAAGTTGATCCATTCTTGGCAAAATCAGAATGCGAAATGATTATTCTAACAAATAACTGGAGCGTTTGAACAATTGATAACGACTAAGAATCAAAGTCCAAGACTGAAAGTACCAGTTTACTTGTTGACAGGAGCAAAAGTATGTTATTACATTTGGATTGTAAATAAAAGCTCTTTACAACATAAAATCTTGTTAATACATACTTTTAACGTTAAGTAGATATTAAAATAGAAAAATGGATAACGTTTCTAATAATATGAAAAAAGTATCAATAATTATTTAAACATAACAAAAACATGACATGACATAAAGTCATAAATTACAGATTCAAAGAAACAGGACCACAGAAAACATAGACAGCTGTCAGATTGACATTAAAAAAAATAGTTTTTAAATGTCACAGGACTTTGAACCTTATTGCTTTTAAATAAGCTCTTATTTTTCAATTTGATTGATGTCAATAGCCTCTGCCCTCAATGCCCATGGTTACAAAATATCGTGCGAACCTTAATAATTTTAGATAGTGTATATCAGTACAATAATTACATGATAAACAATTGACATAATGAAATTAGTTGCAGATATCAGTTAGTAATAGTAAATTCATTGCAAGTAATGAGTATCTTTAAGTTCATATTTGATACTTAGTTAGTTAGTGGTGGTTAGTATAGGGTAATAACTAACTTGTTAGTAATTGTAACTAAACTCACACACAAGAGACATTGCTAACAAGAATGATCATTGTTAGCAATGTAGGTTTTTTTTATTGTTTCGGAATATTTTTATGAAATAATAATTACTGATGATTTTGCCACGACGGCATGTCCTCATATTGCCCCACAGTTCTGCAACGTATACTCTTAGCGCAGGCGGGTGCACCTTTTCATAATAATCAAATAAAAATACTAATCCGATTATAAATAGATGATTTATTTTCATTCATTCCTTCATAATTGCTATTGTCGGTGGAGCTCCCGTCATCTCCACGATCTTTTATCTATTTCGATTTATTGTATCAGTTGAATTTAAACTGGTGCACCAGCCTGAGCGTCCACCTATTATTTTCTGCTAGAGTTTCGACGCTGCGTCTGCAATGTGTAAAATTTTTGAAATATTATAATCGCGGAAGTTTGTTAGTACGTATGTATGTTTATTATTCTTTCACATAAAACAAGTGAACGAACTTTGATGAAAGTTTACTAGTTTATACGTCAGAATAACATAGACAACAAATTTCATGCGGGTGAAACCGCGGGCATAGCTATAGTCAGTTTTTTAATCTCGGTAACAACTTTGACATTTACGATGTTGCTAGGTTTTTGCATTTTTTTAAATAGGGTAGCAGACTAGTCATTATAATTTCTAAAGACGTAAAAATTAAAATGGCTATTAAAATATTATACAAAATTTAACGCAGTTATCATGAATTTTGATACTTTTAAAAAATGAGATTTAAATTATCGGTTAACTTTAATGTAATTCCTTACTATTATAAATTAACTAAGTTAGCTCAATTTTGAACTTTTTAGCCCGTTTAAACGAGTTTTAGCTCAAAAAGTTGAAATCGACTGGAAACATTTATAACAGCTTTCATTTTAAATTTTAAAAATTGAACCCATGTTAAAAATTCTCTACTGTTATGTTACTTTGATTTTAATGTAGTAATTACTTTAGCTAATAAGTAGACAAGATTTGATTGTAAAGCCTTGGCGGCCAGAAACTCCTAATTGAACATGAATCACGCAACAACCGATGCACTATCAAGTATGTAAACAAACAGTTTTTGTTTGTGTATATTTAAAAAAAACTTTCCAGTTATTGATTTCTTAAAGTTTACCAATTTTAATGTGCATAAAATCTTTTAACTTATTCATTCTTTCAAGTTTATAGTCTTCTATCTAGTTCTTTGTTTGTTTTCTAAAATGAAGCATAAAAATTTGTAGTATAACTACATTATTCTTACATTATCAGTTATTTGTTTCCCTTTTCGTTTGCAATTGATTTTCGAGGAACGAATTTTGAGTAAAATAGTTCACCATATCACACCAACATTACAAGTTTTAGTTACTTAGCATTTCACCTATACCGGTAATATAACTTCGCTATTAATTAATATCTAATTTTACAGTAATATACAATGAAGGCCAATGGAGACTAAACAAAGTATCTCCACTGTTTAATTTACAATATGATGAGTTAAAATTGAAACAATATGCCTCCAAAGTCCGTCAAAGTCTTGTTGGCTCTGTAACAACAAACACTTCAACGAAATATACAGTGCAATTTGAGGAACTACCTCTTTTAAAATATTGTGAGGAAGATCCCAGTGGCTTAATGGTGAGTCTCTTTCTCTGTCTATAATGTTTGTTATATAAATAAAATTATAATATTTACTGTGTGAAGGTTTTTTGTTCTGTTTATAAGATGTATAATCATTATTTACAAACCTGATTGGATTGACAAAAAAATATAGTCCTTCAATTTGACTGTTATGTGAGCGCCATAATTTAGTTAAAACTATTCATTTAATCAATTACCATTAAGGGTAGATGAATGGATGAACATAAAGATTGATGGCCAGGTTTGTGTTTTGAGTCATATTCTTTATGCTTTTTAGACATGACTATAAAGTTTAGCTATTCATATTGTACATAAAGATGGATAGTAGATATGTATAACAAATTTAATATTCTTAACCTTCTTTACAAAATGGACATTTTGTAAATTTTATGCTCATCTAAAATCAAGTAGTTTTTGGGATTTTATTATTAGTAGACTGGTCCTATTATCCTTAGATCTAATATCAAGCATTTAGTGAGTATAGTTCAAAGACTAACCTCTTCTTTCTTTTCTTCTTATCAACTAGATTTGAACTTACAACTTTTCAGGTGTAATTGAGGGTAGTAAACCACTACCAACCAATGACAATGCTCTATAATATTAATTTACCTTTTATAAATTATTTTCAATAATTTTTAATATTTTTGTAATTCTTAATTGGAAACATTCATATTGTTAATTACATTCTTTATTTCTATTGACATATTTTCAGATTACAGTGTCATCTACATATGAAAATAATGCAAAGAGTAAAGTAGCTTATGTAGCAATACTTTTGGCGTGGGGCATGAGTGTTACCCTCAGTTCAGCAACACATTTACCTTATTTGATCGAACGAGGTGAGCAGAAAGTGGGGACTGCTGTGAAATCCATACTACAGACGATTTTTGATTGCAATGTAAACCAATACCTAATTAGACAGGTAAATATTATTCATAGTTTCATGAAAGTATAATCATAATAGATGTGCCTGCATGAAATTTATAGCCTATATGTTATTCTGATGTATAGGATACATTACTCTAAAGTTTCATCGAAATCCGTTCAGTAGTTTTTGCATTCATACTCACTAACTTTTGCATTTATAACATTAAGATTAATGTAGCAGAGTAATGCAAGATTACGCAAGCTGAAGTTGACAGAAAGGAATTTTGAAACAGATGGTTCCAAAAGTTGCATATGACATACAGAATGTATGTTTACTAAGTTTATTATTTTGCATTGTTGTATTGACATTTCTCTCTAGCAGTTGTTAAAGTTGCCAATACTTTTAAAATGTCAACTTATATTAAATATATTGCTTAATCATTTCAGCATCAACTATTACAATTTGGCTTTAGTTTTCTTGAATGTGATACATCTCGCAGTTCAGATAATTTTACACTGGTCTACAAAACACCACAAGTGGACCATAAAGATCAACTGAATCTTACATTTGATATAAGTGATGTGCATATTATTTGGAATGGGTATGTAAACATTAAAATTATAATAAAATGCAATAGTAATTATTATTTTGTATCATAATACAATTTAAATGCCATTGTATCCCCTTAGGCATTGCTTTCCTTGAAGATTAAGGAGTAAAATGCTTAATATCACTGGTATATTTTATATTTTAAACTGTAATACAGCATACAAAGCTACCTGTATTGTTTTCATTGTAATTTCCATATATTCTCTAAGGAATGAACTCATATAATTTTCAGAGTACGAGATTACGACGAGAATAGATCAGAACTAGTTAATGTTGCATATCAAATATTGCAAAATCAAATATTCTATATGATGGCTTTAGATGTAAAGGTTCTTGATCTATGTGAAGTAATATTACCAAAAGCTGAAATCAAAAGTACCGGTATTGTGAAAATGAAGACTCCGGAAGCAGTTAATAGTACTTTTATGGTATTAAATGATATAACTTTTAATGCCATGAATAATGTAAGTCATATAACACAAGGTAGTTGAAAGATAGGTGGTTGTAAAATATTTGTACTGTTTGAGACCCAGCACAGGTCATCACCTATTAATTTATATATTACCACATAATTATATTGTTATATCAATGTTTCAGTTTATTTCCAATTTCAGTTGTTGTATATCAAATACAGCAACTGAAATATAATATTAAAGTGTTTTATTTGTATTTTTTATGTAATTGTAATGACAAACAACATGACGGCCCGCATAGTGCAAGTAGTAACGATCACCTTTGTACATTAACATCGCAATGGACATCATATTATCATGTGACGCCCATTATACTACTTATGGGTTGCCATTCTTGAGATATAAGATCTCTCATGACTCAAATTGTAATATCAGATTGTTAGAAAAAACTTTTAATACTTCAAAAACATTTGATAAACTCCCAGTCCCTTCCACTGATGCTAGACATCTGTGCGCCTAGTTCAAATAACTGATGTGGGAATGAAGGCCGCTAAACTAAAGAGAGTGGGCCGGTCATGAGGCCAGGACTTCTTTTAAGAAGTTGATCAATATCGTCACATATGGTACACAAAGCAATAGACACTAATTTTGGGATAGATCACAGTGGGTTGCTATTTTTCTGATTAGACATGGCTTGACCAAGCACTTAATAGAGGTTTGTAAGCAAGATGGGGATGCCTTTTGCTTGCATTTGACACAAATCAGGCTATAAAAAAGTTGTTTTTAGCTTCAGTCTTACTACTTTTATGCTCAAGATAATTTCTCACGAAAGTTCTTCACAAACAAATCGTATTAAAATATATACCTATTGGTAATTAAGAAATATAACAAAATTGTTTTTCAACATTTACTCTCATGAATTACACCTTACAAATGTGTTGCATATGTAACCTTACAAAATACTTTATCATATTACAATGTGCTAAACTTAATTTAACCTATTTTGTAATCATGTCTTTCATTACCTTGCAAGCAGTCTGATTAAATAAGAAATATATCTTTGTAAGTTTAAAATGTTCCATCTGTTTAATATAATTTTCATTGTGCAAAATATTTAATAGGCCTCCACCTAAAGTATACAAATATCTATAAATAAAGGAAGATGGGAGATTATTACGACGATATATTTAAATTCTATACAAAAGTTGCAGTATGCAAGGTATCAAAAGTTCAAGTTTACCAAACAATTTTCTCAATAACAATAAAATAGTTATAGCTTGACACAGTAGTAATTTCACAGAGATCCAGGTATTAAATAATAATTACTTAGTTATTGATATAAGAATATTTATTTTATATCCTATCATGCGCTTATTCTGTGATGGAAAACGAATAATTCAATATTAAGTCAATAATATAAATCATGATATCCCATTACAATAATCACTTCAATATAATATAATAGATAATAGAAATTGTTTACATCATATACCCATACTTTTCGTATCAATCGACAAAATAAAATATGAACAAAACAACATCATTAATTACTATGTTTTACACAACATTCATGTACTTTTATAAATAAATGCCAAATTATAGAGAAACGTTCATAAATGACATTGCAAATAAAATGTACACAAATATACATGCACACAAATTTATATAAAAGCATTTTTTCATATTTGTGAAGGGTCTATTAATAATGTCGTAGAACTATACGCCATGTAATGAATGGTTCCAAGTGGGTCGTCCAAATTATTGGTAACAATTTAATTAGGTACATTAAGGTGAATATAATGATCGGTCTTGATCATCATCAATTATATGAATTATCTATGCATGGTCTACACCTTGGTCAAATTAACATAATCAATGAAATGGTTCTGCTGTATGAACTGTGTAACTTACTTTATGCACTTATACATGATGTCTTATTATTTATTTAATTAAGAGCCATAATCTAGTACCACCACTAATGAAAAATCCAAGATAGAAATAAGTTTGTTAATGTTCACTTTCAATAACATTTTTTGAAAGAGATTCTAATTCTATTGAAGTTAGCACCTCTGAAATGGTGGATACATTCTGAGAAGATGAAAGGTGGTATTTAATTCGAAATTTTTAATATTTATCTCTGTAATTAATTTCAGTAATATTGACTAACACTATGAATTACAAATGTGCCAGAGAGGCATTAGTATTATAGTGAGTTCAGATTTAAGCTATTCTGTAGCGTAATAAAATAAATCTAATAATCCGGCATACAGTAAGTTCCGTTTCATTGTTTGTTGCACACAGCTGCATCCTCCTGAAAAACAACAGTAAAATGTAAAGTAACTACTGTATTTATGAAGGAAAACTGTTGTAAGTATTATTACTGCAGATTTATAACTGAACTTATAGAAGGATGACTACTATAAAGTGTTTTGTATCGAGGCAGAATGCCCCCATCAGTCTTGTAGACACAGATATATAAAGTTCCTTGAAATAAATAAAATTATTAAACAGCACCTCATCAGCCCGTTCTAATGGGCAGCCCTCCCGCTCAGTGTGTGCAGTGCAGCACCTAACAGCAGCCACCGCCAGCCGCGCCGGCAGCGCCCGCGCCGCCGGCTCCGCTCGCACCGCCGCTTGTCGAGTGTTGCGGTCCGATTTTGATGCCGTTTGCCTAACAATTAAATGCCATATTGTAATCTTTTATTACAGTCTGTTCTTTTTATACTAGGATGTCAGAGTATTGGATGATAGTGGAAAGTATTTTATTTATGGCGAGCAGTAAATATGCTGCTGTAGCAGAAGACATTGGTACATTTGTCATTACTAGTACGGTTTTCTGGACTTTATTTATTTTTTATAGTATGTGATAATAGATGCCAAAGAATAATCTCCATGATTTAGTTATTTCTAAACTAATACAGTACAATCTATAAGCGGAAACCCAAGATTAAGAAGTTAACTTATTTGTACAATAATATTAGTCAGTAGTTGATAGAAAAAAAAAACAAAAATATGAAGTGACAATGTAATTTTCTTATCTATCATGACAAGAAAATTACTACATTGTCATTTTGTATTCATTTGTGTTTTCCATCAAATGTGACATGTTACATATCTGAAAGAGGTATGTATGTATGAGATATGTACATAAAAATAAAGGCTATATTGTATTATACTCATCATAACATAACATTCCATTAAAATTGATAACAAATAGTAAATATACCTCATTGTTGATATCAAACACTCCTTCTTGGATTTTCTCATAGATCTCTTTGGCTGTGTTTATGAATGCTTCTTCGACATTGGCTGCCGTCTTAGCCGATGTCTCCATGAAGACGAGACCATGTTCACGCGCGAATGCTTCTCCTTCCTCTTTCTTCACTTCACGTCGTGACTCTAAATCACTGAAAATTGTACACAAAATTGTAATATTAATAATCCAGGACAATTTACACATCTCTATCTAGTCCCAAGCTAAGCAGAGCTCATGTTAGGGGGTTTGAATTCTCATATGAAACAAACATTTATATTCAACAGTATAATTGTTTGCATTGGTCTCGGTTGTTGTCTAGTACTGATAATACTAGTTCTACTTAACTTGGGACTATAGTGCACTGTCCTAAGATATCATACATTATTATTAAGGATTATTGTCACTAACCTTTTGTTACCAATTAACATTATGACCATATTCGAATTGGAGTGCTGACGCGCATCTTCAAGCCAAGTGGTGAGATGGTTGAATGTGTCCCTTCTAGTGATATCATACACTAAAAGAGCACCAGCAGCACCCCTGTAGTATGATCGGGTGATTGATCTGAAAATAGAAAAATGAATACATGGTGTGGTGGTGAATGGTAAATACTTTTATAGATGCTCTAAATCTTTTTCTAGCAAAATAGGATTAAAATACATATTGTAGAATTTTAGGCAACAAACCGACAATCTAGTGATAGCAATTAGTAATATGTATTGTTGGTTCCATTACTACCAAGATAGTGAGATTAACCAAGCAGGGACTGTATGGTTGATCTTGGAATGTATACCATCATAGATAATTCCAGATAAATTTAGAATGCAACTGTTTAAATGGTAAATTTAAACAGTCACATTATAACAGTCTTATTCAATACCACAAATCATAAGCAAAAAGTGGTTATTCAGATACCTAAAACTGTAATATTACAACATCTTAAATCTCAACTTGAAACAGACTTCAATGGTATGCACTAATTCTCTTATTCTTATTGGTGATGAAAACAAAATCATGTTATATTGAATTGACAACATTCAATTAAAATTTAGCTATTATATACCTACAACAACTACCAGAACACCTTCAGCATAATATGAGTTTAACATCTATTAATCTCATACAAAACATGCTTATAAACATTTTTAATCGTTTCTAAACTTACCAATACAATATTATCTTTTTGACACAATTCTATTGTACAAATTATGTACCTTATAATTGATTCAAACAAAGAGTACAAAGCAAACTGCAAAGTTAATGTATCCAAAAGATAGGGAAGTTTAAAATTAAGTTATCCACAATTTACAAATAATTAGGTGATTGGATCTAGAGATACAGTTTTCAACATGTTATTTAAGTTGTATTTGAAGATATTCTTCATTATTTAAGCAAACAAAATGGATAACAAAAACATAAATAGTCATGAAAACTTAGTTTATAAAACCACATAAGGCAACTTAGTAAGTGCCTGTTAGTTGCTTTTTTAAGAGTAAAAAGCAAAATAGATAAAATTTAAGAAGACATTGTATTATGTGGATGATCATAGGCTATCTATATATATATTAATAATTATAATGTGTTTTAAATTGTGTATATCTGTTGATGTAATTAAAGTAAATACTATCAACATGAACTACATATAAATAACCGTATTTTAATTAAGGGGGTAGGTTTCAAAACAAAATTATAATTAGTTTAAATTTCATAATGTTTTATAACATATAAAATGCAAATGGGTGTATTACCTGAATGCTTCCTGTCCAGCTGTATCCCATATCTGCAGTTTGATTTGCTTGCCATCAATGGTGATCATACGAGCACCAAATTCTACACCTATTGTGAGATCATGAACAGGTTGGAACCTTTTGTCCGTGAACTGTAGTAGTAGGCATGATTTGCCAACACCTAATACAAGAAAAAAAAATGATGATGATTTATATATCATTACTAGATGTAAATGGAGATAATAAAATAATGAATATTGAATAATGTATATTCAATACTAATTATTTTATTATCTCTAAATTCAAATGATACTAACTGTATGCATACCATAGTAAAAATAACACAATTATTATGACAATTTTCAATTATAAAATTTTTATATTAAGTTAGTATTTGTTTATAAAGTAATATCCCACAATATAATATGTAATACCATTCATTATTTTATCATAACATTTATATGGCAAATGAGACAATAGAACAATAAAGTCCTTGAACCAGCTAGTGGTAAATAAGACTAAATCAAAGAGACTATGCATTATTCTTGGTCAAAAAGAATACTGATTAGTAATTAAAAACGAAAATTAATAATTTCTGAAAAAATACGCATCAAAGTCGATATTTGGCGCAGGTAATATATGGCGTAGGCGGAAAAGAAGGATATTAGACAAAGCAAACATTTATTAACAGAACAAAGAATAGACAAAGAGTTAGGGTAATACATAATTTGAGGTACTAGTTTTATGTCCATCATTAATATTACAACAAAAGATTCAACGTACAGATAGGAGGACAAACAGAACAACCCTAGATAAAATAGAAACAAAATCAATACCTGTGTCACCGATGATGATGTATTTGAATAAGTAGGCGTATGCCATTTTTTCAACTTCTTCTCGTAACTATATGACGTTACAACGAAAAGTATTAGTAAACAAATAGTTTCAAGACGATTAAACTGTAAAATATACAATAAGACGCAATTTTTATATATTTCACAGCTGGTTGAATCAGTTTGTCATTGTGAAATTTGTATAGATTGACATGATAGTAATTGACAGTCATGACATTTATCATTTGACATATAATATAATCATAGACAAATATCACAAGTGGTGGCACTGAGGATGATTTCCGGTTTTTCTAAAACATCGGTAATTTAGAACGCCTTCCTAAATTTGAATCTAAATACATATAAAATACAAATCAGAAACTGGAACAACTGTCAATATCAAATCGATGGTATTATTTTATTTAAAGTATAACAATTACTTGCCAATTGTTTTGATAATTATATTTACCAAACGGAATTCCTTATAGTCGAGTTTGTTTACTGATTACATTATTCATGGGTAGGTAGAAATCTCGTACCAGCATCTTCAAAGATAAAATCGTGAATAATCATAGATTCACGATAAGTTTATTTTCTCTATGTGAATAATAAATGTAAAAAATGAATAGAATAGATACGTTGGTAAGTATATTGAAATTCAAATTAGAATAATAAAGATATATTTTTACCTATACTAAGGCCGAAATTCTTAGGCACTGGTTCTCAAATTATTGCATGTAGGGTAGAGGGTAGACACGTATTATTTAACGTTCACATCATAGACGTTCAGACTTTAGACTTCCCAACAGGAAAACTACGTATTTACATCATCATATTTTATATATGATGGCAAATTATCGTTCCAATGATGAAGAATTGACAAAATTAATTAAAATTTCAAGTAAACAAAGCATAAAACTACATACATAACATAATTCTGTATAGCCTTTCTGCTGTATATACGAGTATGATTGTTTGTATGTATTTATTGTATGTGGTCTGGGTGTTTTCTATGTATATTAATTAAAATATTTACAAAAAAAATGTTACAGTTATTATGTGTAAAAAACTTTGAGAAGTTTTGATTTAAAGAATATGTTTGATGCTTTAGATAACATAAAAATGTCAGTAGTCAATAATCTATAACTATTGGTTGCACAACTCATGTACAACAAGTAGACCCTTTAGAACTTTGTCAAAGTGATATTATTTATAAGCCCACATATTTTTAAAATATCTTCGACAATTTGTTAATTTGACAAGGCACAAAAGGGTTTACATATTAGTTCAGGCGAATTTATTTACTTATTTGCATTATATTCCACGGTTTTTTAATATGAAACTTTTAAAAAATCTTAAGTTTAATATTTCAAGAAATTACTATCAACAGTAAGTCTTTGCTATTATATAATACTTACGTCATGGGATATTAATAAGTGGCTATCTACCTACTTATTTGTGTTTTAGTACCAACATTAGACCTACCTATAGTATTTACATTTCACAAATAATATTATTCTTATTTTCAGACCCTTCCGACAAAAACAGGATATCGCAAGTTCGCTGATTTCAGAGGAATTATTCGACAAATTTCACAAGTCTCTACCTAAAATCGTAAATAATGTTTTCAGCAAACGAACTTCTTTAAATTTATTAGGAGTCGAGAATCATATAAAAAAGGTATGTATCTAAGATAATTATCTTAGGTTATTGGTATTAGTACCTATTGTTCTTAGATTATAACTGTACACACTTTTTAATTTTTAAACACTTCTTAGTTCGAGATTAACAATTTAAAATCATATTGTTTTAACGGCGGATTAAAAAAAACTATAATAAAATTTTATTTTTTATATTTAAATAGGGTTTTTTATTCAAATTGAAATAGCGATCATAGTATATTTTGTAAATTTGTCATGTATTTGATAGCGAAGTAAAAAAATTCGTATGGGATATTTAATAAGTGGCTATCTACCTACTTATTTGTGTTTTAGTACCTACTTAGTTCGGTAATATGCTAAACAACCAATGAAAATGTATTTAATTTATCCTGATCATGTATACTATGTAATGAAATTTCAGATTGCCGATCACAGTTTGCACAATGGGAACAAGTTATGTGGTTCCCTGATGTTGTACACATACAAAACATTGGCAACTAAAGATAATATAACTGAACAGTCGTTTTATTTAGCTTGTGTACTCGCTTGGTCAGCAGAATTGGTTAGTCGTTATTAGGAACTACCTACTCATATTTCTATCCTAAGTAAAACCTACGCGTCATGATTACTCATGATACACATAATATGGGAGATAGTTCTTATTTTAATATTTATTATGTAATTGGTATGGTTAACAAGCTTACGGCCCACCTGATGGTAAGCGGTATCTACATAAACAGCACTAAGCACTTCAGTTACCGTCTGACATCCGTAATACCATATGAAACTTATCATGTAACATTTGCATTCAGTTACTTTTTTGGTAAAATATTATTGTATATCTATTATAGTAGTCATAATTGACTTTTTCCTTAATGGTAAAATATTTTGTTGAATACAATAAATACTCTTAAAATTTACTTAAAATCATATAGGTAGTTCTAATAGGTAGTGCATTTACTCAAGAAAATATCTCATATAGTTGCTATTTGAAAATTTACTTATTACAATCACTAATAAGTGAGTATGCATAGTGGCCCTACTTGACTCAAAGGTCGCGAGTTGACATCTGGCCAACACAAAAAACACTGTATGTCAATTTATTTTTTTACTTATATATTTTTTACTGCTTCCGGTGATGGAAACATCGATACAAACCAAAGAAATCAGACTTCAAATATATCCATATATATGTAGGCATGTTCATTGTTATGTTCACCTCTCATAGTGCCTCGTTCTGAAGTTATGACGATATATTCTTATTAAGATATTTATGTTTTAGTTTCAGTGTTTATTTAATATTTTGGATACTATAGAAGACAATAGATACGCAGAAAATGTACAAGTTAAAACGCTGCATTTGCTTCCGGACGCCAAGGCTGGGGCTAACGATGTGTGTCTAATTATAAGTTCAATATATGAAATATTGAATATACATTTTGCAGATAAATCGTCGTATAACAATGTTATAAATCTGTTCAACACAGTAAGTTTCTATATGATTTTATACTTTTATGATATATATTTTTAAATTATGTTAGATTATTTTTCTGTTCACGACTTCTAGAATAGCTTCTCTCTCTCGGCCCTAGGGCAGCTTTGGGGCTCGATCAGAAGGCCCGTGATATGTTGCCAGCTCTGCCACCCTATCTTTGCCCCTGGCTCCTATGCTCCTATGTCTTGTTAAAGGACTAGGTATATACTATGAGTTCTCCAAAAGAAACAGTATTCCGCAAGTCCATAGATTATAAGTTAATAGCGCATCATCCATAATTTAAAAATTTTCATACTAACATCGAGGTCACGTACTTATTTAATTTCATACGAAATGTTAAAAATGTGGTTAAATTGAGTTTCGAGAGCACTATAATTATTTTTCAGTTTAATATATACATATTATCACTAATTTTGTATCTAAATATTTTATGTACAAATGATTACAGGCTTTCTTGTATAAGGCAACTGGACGGCACTTCGACGCCATTGTATCTAAAGCGACGACCGGAAATTATGCACTATTTACAACCGAACAATATGATAACATCGTTTATTTATATAATACCTATTCCACTTTACATTTACCAATTTATTTAGGAATGACACTGGCTGCAAAAGTAAATGAAAAATATATGCAAGATGTACAGGACATATGTATTGATATTGGTAGACTATTTCAAATGCAGGTATGTGTTATAATTGCATGATTTTTAGCGAATTAGTTCATTCGTTAATTGGAAGTACTATAGTCCCTTTTTTATATAGTTTTGTGTTGTAGATAAATCACCGCTACACAAGCGGTGATTTACTCAAAATAAATTACCTACAGATGTCTAGAAAAAATACTGATATGAATTTCGAGCGAATACCTTGATGGATTTTTGTTATTTTTAATTTTATGACTTACTTTTTCGAAATATTAAATTATAAATCTGGAAAATATGTTCTACGACAGTCCATTTTTTTAGGAACCCTCAAAACCCCTTATTGTAAAAAATTGTAGTAAATTCATTCGGTACTTATCAAACTTAATAGAATATTTTACAATGTTATTGAGGGAATACTATATCATATTACCATGAAGAGTCGTCTCTAACTTTACTACTACTACTAACAGTCTTCTCTGCCTTAAGTATCACCGTATATCAGTTGTTTATATTGTTATTTAATTGCGCAGGTTGAATACCAGGATTGCTTTGGAGATGGTGTAATGGACAAAGCGAGTAACGCTATTGGGAATGGGAAATGTACATGGTTGGCAGTAACCGCGCTGCAGCGCTGTACTCGTCCCCAACAAATCGTTTTTAACTCATGCTATGGTAGTCCTGAACCAGCGCACATGGAGCGAATTAAGGAGTTATACAGAAAGCTGAAATTGCCACAAATATACCACGAACAAAATAGGGCTATTCGGAAGCGTATAGCGCAGAGAATAGAAGCCCTATCTCAAAATGATAAAGGTGAAACGCTTCCACCTGAATTATTTACAGATTTTCTGAAACAAACAATTCATGACGATAAGTAAACCACTAACAAAACTAAACATAACAGTGTAACAATGCAAAAAATATATAGATAATTATTAAAATTATGCTTAAATAAATTTACAATAACAATAACATGTAAATATTTATAAGCAACATCGTTGGAATAGGATATGTTGCGACGGATTATATATCTCATGACACTACTACTTTTAATTCAGATTGTATGTATCCAGAATTTCAAATATCTTTCATCGATGATCTGACAAATTTCATATATTTCCCGAATATGTTAATTTTTAAATGCCTAACAAAGAATCGGGTTATAGTGGCGTAGTGGTCGTAGTGGAAGCCAGCTGCGACAGAAGCATACACGAAAAAAAAATTCAGTGTCAGTCATAGTTTGAGATCTTTGATATACCCATTACGACTAAGCCTTTGTAATCAATTATATATTCAGTATATCTATTGTTAGGATGATGGTAAATAAAACTATTATCTAGTCTATCATAGTATATTCCAAAAATATAATGTTATACATAACATTGCTTCTATATCGAGTTACAAGGATCCAGTAAGACTGCTCCCAAACGATTAGGTACTTACAATTAAATGACTCAAATCAACAACTGCTAAATTATAGATACTTATTTTTTTACGAGTAATGACGTTTTTACATTATAGAAAGATTATATATTTAGGAGCGATTTAGAAGTGTCTAAATAACTTCGGAATCATTTCCATTCTTCTACATAGTAGTCTATATAAAAACTTAATAGTGTAATAAATAGCAAATAACATATGACATACTTAGATTTTGAAATATATGTATTGACATACAACTAATTTACATGGTTATAAATCAATTGTACATATACGATGCCATTTTTTGAAACACAAAAGTGGATGTACGAACTGTGTGGCATTTTAAATGAAGTATAGATATTCTGAACATTGATGTAAAAAGATAATAATAAATAGGTCTAGTTTCACAAGTAAAATATTATTATGATAATATGCCACTGAATGAAATGAAATGAAATCAATGTAAACAATATTGTCATTGTTCATAAAAAGCCAAATACTTAATAAACCTATTTAATCTATATTGTACCTAATGTTTTGGTCTTTTCTCTCGAGCTATTTTCTTAATTTGAGAGAAAGTATCAATGTAAAAGTGGATGTGTATGTTTTAGTATGAATGAGGTGGTTTATATACATTATTTCTTTGGCATTTCAAATTAGGCGATCGCAAATCTACAGTTTATTGCATGAATTTGTTGATGAGTTGGTAAATGTAATGAGTTATAAAATTATTTTACTATACAATTACAACGAATAACATAACGTGATAACATAGTATTAAATCCAGTGCAATATTAATGTTGCTTACAAAAGTATATGAGTTACAACGATTACAGATATTGTGCTAATATAATTTTGACTAGTAAGCACCAATTGACTAATATATAATAAGATACCTTAATGAATTATTTACATTTTATGGCTAATAAAATTTAGCCAAACACAGCTTTCGTTATACAAAAACACGAATGAGTTTAACTTTAATTGTATATTTTATTAGAAAACAACAAATATTTGAGCGATATAGAAGTTGAAGCTTTCAGAAAATTATGTGAACATTATAATAATAATAACATTACTTGTAAACACATATAGTAACTAGATTAAAAAAAAGTAGTGATGTATTCAATAGAATTATAGGCAGTAACAATCAGAAGAGAAGTGATATTTATGAAATTGATGAACCATTTGCAAGCCAAAGCAATGTTGAATGGCGAAAATATTTTTAAAACATTTACTCTAATTATTGCTTATACTGATTGACGGCCATTTATATTTCTTCAACTCGGTATGGTAAATATAAGGAGTAAATGTTATATTTTTCAGTTTACAATAACATTATAATTTCATTAACCTCTTAACCGGGCAAAACGCATAAATGGTCAGGCGTAAACAATATCGGGTACGGGTAGGACATATGAATACGTCCTCGAAAATTTATTTGCGCTCTGGAACGGACGGAGAGTATATTTTTGTCGTCGTCCGAATTGTAGTGCAGCATTATGCATTAATAATTGTTTTAAAATATATCACACAGAAATTTAGTTTTGAATTTTTATATGTACCTATTGTGTATCTTTACGTGCTTTTACTTGTCTTGTGATTCCTTTTGTACTTCAAAAATATTAATATACGATATATATTTAATAGTTTTTCATTTATTTATATATAAATAAAAATATAGAAATATGAAATGACGGTCTCCGGGCGTGACGTACTGACATGTCCTAGCGAAACAATACGCGCCCGGTGCATGTTGCATAATTTGAACGAGAACTCCCCGGTTAACAGGTATTCTTCTTTCCATAAATTTAGAGACCGAAAATTTACTAAAACACTAAAAGGATCTTTTCAATTATTTCAGTAATGAGAATCTATTAGCATATAAAATAGTTCTGGTTTAGACTTAGAGATTGTTAAAAATTTTTAGATTTAAACAGTATAGAGTTGTATATCGTATAAATAAGATATAAGACAAAAAGAAGAACAGAAAGAAGGTCAAATGTGTTTATTAAAGTTTTGTAGTCATTAAATGAAAATGAAAAAGAACGTAGCAGAAATAAAACTTATTACGGTACTATAGAACTAAACAATAACATGCTACAATATATAAAAAAGTGCTACAAATATATTACAATGTATAATTAAAATAAATGTTACTCGGTGGTATAATAGCAAAATGAAAAAACCAAGAGTATCAAATCAATAGAATATACATATATCATAGATATGTATTTTGTTGTAGTTATAAGATTAATGATTTTTGTAAATAAAGCCATATGCTTTCAGGTCACATTCTCTCTTTTATTTCATGTCTTTTGTTTGTAGAGTAATGCTAAAACAACTATATACGCATATAAATAATAGAGCTAAACAAACAATAATATGAAAAATAATTACAGGCAAATAAGAAATTAACATAACATTGGGTTATTTATCAAACACGAACTTCAAAGTAAACACTTATATTTCTCTTTAACTATTAATTAAATAAGATTTTATATTATTGATATTTAATATTATCCTAACATTACTTATAATGGAAAATTGTGATCTTCAAATACCTTGCTTCGACCCTGCAACTGCTTAGCGTTTGCTGACACATATAATGTCACAGTCTAAATATAATTGAATTTAAATATGTCTTTTAATTTCCTTTATTTGTATATCATTGGTTTATTATAACTTACTTCACCGCGTCGAGTACGAAATGCTAAGTGAACAGTGTTCTTTCATGCCACACATGGGGATTCGTGTACAATGTCTCATATATTAACGGTCACTTATCTCAAGCCGGATCTCCTTGGGGGCCAATGATGGGGAGTTGAGGCGAGTGGACCAGCCGCCGATGAGCTTCAGAGCCGGTGAGCGCGGCGACGGTGATCCCGGCTTGATAGGCGGCAGGTATCCGTATGTGGTGGGTACGAGTGCCATGTTCAGACCACCCCGTCGATTGCCACTCCCTTATCACGTTCGCTACTTGGCCTGGTTGAATAGTTTTTATAAAAATTAGTTTGTTGTGGGTAGCTAGTAATATAACAAATTCAGTTAGTGACATAGTTGTAAACACAGTAAGAAGATATAAAGATCTTTTATTAACACATATGTAAGTATGTAGTCCATACGTCACTTTGAATTGTGAAAATTATACACTGTCAATAAAAAATAAGTGACTAATTATTATACCAATAATTTTCGCAATTTTTATTAATTTTTAGTAAAATAAATAAACATAATTATTTCTTTCTCGCTATTTTTGAAGTAACTAAATACTACATTTATAAGTAATACTACATGGTTAAATATACTATATAATACTCACCAAGTACGTTGAATGTATGAAAGCGTCTATCAGGTACAGCCATTAATGGCGTCAGATCTGTGCTATTATTCAATCTTGTTAGTACATCCCTCGTCCTCACAAGAAGCACAGATGGTGACGTCAGCCGTGGCCATAGTGTAGATTCTGGAACGCACTCGACAGGATTGCATAGATATACTCCTTGAGGTGACACGCCAAACACCATTTGATGGTGCCACGCATCGGGGATATCATTTTCACATCCAACTTGGAGATTGAGGGTTAAAATTGGTACTGCGCCTATAACACACAATATTATAATCATACACACAGTTTAACTAGTAGCGTAGCGTGGGAATTCATAAAGGCCAAAACCGAAAGTGAGAATACCGGGATTTTGTTAAGTCGACAATCGAATTAAAGAAAACGAAAAAAACGCAAAATTGTTGTACAAATGTGAATCTAAGAAATGTGAAAAATACTTTAAATTTATTTAACAATTTATTGTCAAACGTACAAGTCGCTAGTTGCAGTACACAGTCACAGAATCTTAAGAATTAATATAATTTTATGATTAGCATTGTTATTTTATAAATTACCTAACGATATCCAATCCGCCAACCAATGTGATAATGACATGACCCTTTCAGGATATGTTGGGAAGAATCTTGCAGTGACAAGGCCATCTGATGCTCTCTGGATACCAGTAACGATATCCGCGGCCGTACAACCGGCCACTGCTCGTGATAATAGATACCTGAAAGAACATTAATGTTAAATTGAGTCCAAATATACAAAAACGCAAGAAAGTAACGAATCCCAATAAAAAAATATGAGATATTCGAACAGTATTCAGAATTAATGATATATAATAGTTATAATATATTATACTATAAACATTAAAAACTATAATTCTTAAATAAGAACCACACCAACTATATTTTCACCTGTAAATATAAATATTTACTAAGGTTCTACCAGACGATAGTGGTATGGTATATGAAATTAATCTATCGACAATGAATTAATTACTAATGCATATAAAAGAAAAGCAATATTTCCATCTCATCCTATTTTATGTTTCTGTAGAGATCGATTTGCTATCAATAAATTCCTTTGCTACATATGTAATCCTTTTTTTTAAAAAAGGCGATATTTGACTGTAAAAGCAATGGTGGAATGGTCTAATTATTTTATATTAAGAAATTATAGGACGCAAATAAAGCATTTTTTGTTTAATTTTTAATACCTTGGCACTGGAGCATTATTTGCTCTGAGTCTTGTACCAACAGCTGCATTTATTTTTTCTAAGTTAACAGGTACACCCAATGCAATCTGAAAGACAAATATTCAGTATGACATAGGTAGGTAATTTCGAAATTAATTTTACTTCCATAAAATATTCCTTAAGAATATCAGCATTCAACATTAGCATTTTAATACTTAGATGTAGATTCTAAAACTTATCATTTTGGAAATTATGACTCCTCTCACAACTTGCCACACTTACTTAAATTTCATCAATCACTTGACCTCGCATAAACATATGACGTAAATGACATTGCCGCCTTTTACAACGGCTAGATAAGAACCTAAATAGAGTTCAACATACAAGTTATGGACGCATTCAAAGCAATAATTTACTTACAAAGACATTTACAACTGCAGTAGCTCCGCAGGCGGAAGTGCCAATTTGAGTAACTTGTCGTTCACAGGCCTCCCTTTCAGACCATATCATGCTCCTCTCTGGCTCTATACATCGTGGGTCTGCTGTACTGCATCCAGGAGTAGCATCTGGAGTTTTGTGTGTTTCCTGTTAAATAAGTATTATCATAAGTAACAGGTTCTCAATAGTTCTTATTACCTACCTCATTTTCAAAAATTTACATAACATGCTTTATGTTATGTAATTTACATATTGTTATTTAATACCTATTTTATTATAGAGCTAACATACTTTTTCATTAATAAAACATTTCAGATTATGGTTTACTTGATGGTAACCATAATCAGACCATCAGCTTGTTTGCCTACAAAAAATGATTTTTCAGATGTTAATGCATTAATTAAGTCTATTCTGATAAATTTAAATAGACATACATGAAATTAATAGAATATAGCCTCAATCTATCTTAAAAAAGCAAAGAAGGTAGTGGGTAACAACTTGTATAGTATAAATACTACTACACTACACTAAGCTTCTAATGATATAAAATAATTTAATCATAATGTAAAAAAATTTACTTACCACTTTTATTTCATTGGATTTATTTTCAGACTCTGTTTGACTTAACATTAACTTTTGTGCCATTGTCAAATGATATAATGCAGATGACAGATTAGCGGAATCCAATGTTGGACCTTGATTTATTTGATATACCAAGGCACTGCCTGATTGTTCTTCATCTACGTAAAAAAAACAATTGTTTAAATAATATCTCATTAATTAATTTTTGTTAATATTTGAGATACACTAATTATTCTCAGGATAAATAAAAACATATTTAATTAAATTGTCAATAAATACAATAATAATATATAAAAGTATCTATGCATGTCTACCGATTATCATGAATATTACAGTATCTAATTTTATTCAAAATTATTCATAAGAATAATACATTTTTGGATAATTTGGCAAGCTTGTGTACAATAACATGGAAAAATGATATGATCCACAGAAGTATACATTTATGTCCCAAAATTGCCCTCATCTGAGAATACAGTTCCTAAATATGTACTACCAATATACTAATATAACAAATGAAATATAAACCATTACATTATTGAAATTTTTCATAATGGCAAATAATAATTTTCTTATTATAAACTAGCTGTTCCTGCGACTTCATCCACAAGGAACATAACTTTATTTTTCTAAAATAAAATTATTTTCAAAATTAAAGTAGCCTAAGTTACTCCTTATTACATTAGCTACCTGCCAAAAAAAATCCCATCAAAACCGGTTTTGCCACTTCTGAGATAAGCCGGAACAAACAGATCGACAGACAGACAGACAAAAATAATAAAAAAATATATTTTGGTATATGTTAAAAAACGGTTATTTCAATATTACAAACAGACACTCCAATTTTATTTATATGTATAGATTACAGAACAGAGAAATTAGTAAAGCCACAAATATTCAGATTCCATTAGGTATTCTGCCTGTGTTGATACTTTTAATATTTTACATGCATAATTATTATTATATATATAAAATACAAGTTTATATAAAAAGTTATTTGTAGTATTACCAATATATCAGTGCTCTGGCAGAGATCCTAGGCAAATATTAGGTTTATTTATGGATGATAATGAAATGTTGCACTCGCCTAAGCTAACAGTTTACATTTGTGGAAAGTCAGTGTAGGATGATAGGATGAACATGAGGTCAGTTCAGTCAGCCCCTTATGATAAATTAAATAGAAATATACATGATGGTCTCCAGAGGGAGGTGTGGAGGTTAATTATATGTTATTAGCATAGTCATGGACATCAGTCCTTATTGCTAACAACCCCTTTTCCCCCAATAATAGATATTTAGCATAACACTAATCACAGATCACAATCACAATCTTTAGGATATGTAAGTAACAAAATGGAAAAGTTATTTCTAATGTTATAATTATTAAAAATATTTTATGTACACTTACGGTTTAATATTTCTCTTGGTGATACTAAATCTCCACTAGAAACATGTAAACTCGTGGGTGCATTGGTGGACCAATGTGATGTAGTTCGGCGTACTAACAATTGTTCTCCTCTGACATTCACATGTGTAATGTATGGCCCATAATTAGACTGCATACTTTTGGCTGCGTCTCCACTACCTCCCTGTCTGGATGTTAGTCCACTGCTGGTAGATGGCACATTATAAGAAAGTTCTACCTCCCTGTGAGAGCTCTCAACAGGTACATTAGCAGGGAGATTAATTGCATCTCCTCCATTCTCTGGAGAAATTACTTTCCTAACAGGCTCATTTTCCTCAGGCATATTATTAACTGCATCTAACTCCATATCAGATGATGATTCATCTCCTGTATCCACTTCACAAGATGGCCCTGGATCAAAGTCCATTTCTAGAAAATCCATATCTGGACTAGATGCTCCTGAGCCTTGCTCTCTTGCTGGTATTACTGGATTTTGCACCTGATAATTTGGAGGAACAGGCAGATATTTATCCAGTGGCAAACCCATGTCTAAACTAAAAAAAGAGCTTGGTAAATCAGCAAGATGTTGCCCACCTCTATATGTATATATACAACCATCTTCTGAACCTAATGAATAATCATCATTACTTGTGTCGCTTGAACTGTCTTCAGCATCAAAATTTGGCCTGTTAAGTTTCAAAGTAGATGGCCTCTTTCTGCTCTCTTTAAATTTATCTGTTTCTTTGCCAGTGCCACTTGTTGATGCCACTACATAACTGTTGGCTGCTTTGTCCATACACACTTTATGTCTTTGACATTGCTGTCCTTCAATATTATATGAATATGATTCAGTTTTACTACAGCTTGCAGATTCAGAAGACTCACTATTATAATTGTTTACTTTGTTTCCTAGGAATTTTCCGCCGACATTTTGGTTACATTCTAAGCTACGTTCAGTCGACCTGTTAGATTGTAACCCTGGCTCGTTATTAGAAGAATTTAAATGTTTAGAACAAGGTCCATTAGAAGGATTTGGATGGGAATCTATTGGATTTGACACAGATGTAAACACATTTTCGGCACTGTCATTTGGTGTTCGTTGTAGGGTAGGACTTTTGCAATTTGTGTTTTTTTCGCAGTCGCAGTTAGATTTCACTGTTTTTGTTGTAGATGTATTGTCCTTATGCGGATCCATTTTCACTCGACGAGTATTTAATACGTTGAATCGTCGGCTTTACTACTGTTGTTCTTTTAAGGTTAGTCAATGACAGTTATGGGTGGATACAAATAAACTACTGGATACAAATAATGTTGTTTTGGTCACTGTTATTTAACTATTAACTTTGACAGATATTTATAAACAAGTATCTGTAATATATAATATAAATAAAAAACATATTCATTTACGACTTCAATTAAATAGAGTTGACAAATTTGACTTTTGTTTATGATTATAAATCATAGATTAGGGTATAAATCAGAGAGACTACGATTTTTGTAAATTTGGCACAGATTTACAGGACTGGATTTTGTTGCCTAAAACTTATTACAGTGATTATTTGATTGTAGTATTTGTACCCTCATAATACTTTCATTATTAAATTTTATTTATATTAGTTTTTTAAATTACTTTTACATAATCATTATTATATTATAGTGCTAATATACGTTAACTGGGGTCAGAGGAAGTTGACACGATGAGTATTAGGTCAACTTGATACTATGATAACACGGTGTTATCCAGGGGACCGCGTAGAGGTTGACATACTTCATTGGTACTACAATAGGGCCACTAATCCACATTATTAACTAACCCCCCTTCAACCATCCATAATACTTATGTACCTGCTTTAAGAACTATTTTATTCCAGATAAGGTAGTTATAACACATCATCTACACTCTATACATATATATAAAATTGGAGTGTCTGTTTGTAATATTGAAATAACCGTTTTTTACTACATGCATATGAATATAAATACGGTACATACAGCAAAATAACATTTTTTACAATTTCGACCTGTCTGTTTGTTCCGGCTAATCTCTGAAATGGCTGGACCGATTTTGACGGAACTTTTATTGGCAGGTAGCTGATGTAATAAGGAGTAACTTAGGCTACTTTTATTTTAGAAAAATAAAGTTAAATTCCACGCAGATGAAGTCGCGGATACAGCTAGTGGTAAATAACACTTAATATGCCCATATTTGATTGGATATAAATTTATATAATGTAGGTGTAGTAGCTTTATAGTTTTCGTAATTAACCTCGTTTGAATTTACGTGGATGATAGATTCAACCCAATAAATTTCAAGTAAAAATGTATGTAAGTACTATAACTATAGGTATTAGCTGTATCTTATCATAAAGGAGGAGGGAATTGTTAGTAATGTGGACTGGTGACCCCATTGCTAGCAATGTACCATGTCAGGTTGATCTCCACGCGATTCCTCCTGGAAACTATCGTGATAAATTTTTGGTGAATTTAACTCGATGGCTTAACTGACTTGACCTTATGCACATCCTATCATTCTCCACTGGTTTCACCACCAGCGTAAACCGTTAGTGCAGGCGGGGAACGATATCATCCATTAAAAAATAATGACTAACGGGAAAGTGTGTGAGTATAGATGGATAGATGTTTGTTACTCTTTACTCTCTCAAAAACTACTGAACAGATTTTGTTGAAATTTTACACTAATATAACCTATAACATCAGAATAACACATAGGCCACAAATTTCATGCGAGCGAAACTGAGGGCACCGCTTGTACATTATATAAAGAAAACAACAACCTACTTATAAGTATGGGAACCTCCCGTTTTAACTAAAATATTTATTTGTTACATAATCTTTTCATTTATGTACTAAAATATTTTCGAGAGTAAAACGCCGTGGTTTAAACGTGTAATATTTGCTTTTTCATATGTAGTTCTAAAATAAATTAGATAAAACTATAATTTATTGTAGTAGGTATATATTATAAATGATAGTTATGTACATAACTATGTACAAAGTAAAAAATATGTAGAACAGTTATTGCGAAAATAAACTTACGATTATACGAAGTCGCAGTAGTATTCGCCATAATACATACTCTTACTTTGGGACTAGGTGTCGAGTTTTCCAATACTTGTGTCCAAGATTTTTTATTTATTTTTAGTTTTGTGTGAGGTGATGAAATAAAATATCTATGTAATAGAGAAATAGATAGTTATATTTTTATATCTGTGGGTAAATATAAACATGGTATAAAATAATACAACATTCGAGCAAGAATGCTTGTATATACATATATAATTGTTGGTATGGTAATAGAAAATCCTTAAGAGTAACTAATTCGTTAATTATTTAAAAATTAAATTGTAATAGCTAAGTTTCGAATATGGTAGCGTTAACCTCTCAAGTTGTGACTAGAGACTTAAAACAAGAGATTCTCTATAAAAATAATTATTACCCAGAGAATGTGCAAAAAGGATACATACGAATAATAAGTAAACATTAATTTGCATTGGATTTGGAGGATTACAAGATGTCCAATATTACCTAACGTAAACCGTCACCTAAAAATAAACCATAAGAACCTATTGTAATTTATTACATAATAATTCGAATAAACTTTAATCCATAAAGCAGAATATAAAGTTATATAACAAGCTTAGAAAAGACGATGCAAATGTTCCTAAATAGTAACAGTGTATTATTTTCAACGCTTGTTTTAAACGAGTATCTTTTAATAAGGCGGTTAAAAGTGTACATAATGGGGTTGGCAAATGTCAAATAAAAATTAATATCTTTCTTAATAACCAATTAAATCAAAACAATACGTCATCGGGATATTAGATGAAATCATTCAACAATACAAATATTTCTAATATTTGTATAATATATCATTTATTTCTAGCCGTCCGGCCGGCCCCATTGCCCTGTACGAAATGTTACATAGCGCCTATAATATATTGGCGTAACTGGCGTATTACATAGCGCCATCTATTATAAAATATTTACAAAATCAACTTTAATAGTACATAATAATTTTCATTGATTTCTTTTATATAACATATTGAGAAGTCTTGTTACAAGTGCTGTGAAATTAACACCAAAACTTCCTGGGAGAGCTTGCGTCCTTTGCATGATACTATCGTAAGTGGTACGTTCATATTCGCGGTACGCTTGAGGCAACTGTAATTGTTCATACAGCCGCTTGATACTCTCAACATTCTCTGACTCCTTGTTGCCGTAGTGTTTTTCGAATAGGACACGTTGTTCCTGGTTACAGCGCTGCAGTGCTTGAACTGCCAACCATGTACATTTGCCTTCTTGAATATCCGTGCCAACTTTACCGGTTACCGATTCATCTCCAAAACAATCGATAAAATCATCCTGAAAATAATTATTGGCTCAATAAAAAAAAAACTAAATTAAGCTTTAAAACTTTGTACTTAACAAAGTTTTTGCTTCACGTATGAATATATAGATTATTAAAACAAGCATCGTCTTCTTTTACAGTCAATAATCCTATTTTAAATATATGTTGTCCATAGTGCTTAATAAAAATAAATAAAAATCGGTATAAAATAGAAAGTAAAGTCTCGAACTTTTCATTTTGAAATCCATACGTATAAAATTAATTAAACATTTGAACAATTTTCGTCACCGTTCATTAGCTTATTGTTTACACGTGGACAGGTGTGCGGATTGATATTTATTTAAATTTCGTGTATCGACAAGGAAGTCATAAATTATTTTTATAATGAATAATCATTATATATAAATAATGAATAATTTTCAATACTTTATTTATAATTTTATATACGTTTACGACGGCGATGCGTGCGTGAAGTCTTTATCTCTAGTTTCTATTGAATAATTGGTAATTTTGTAAAGCAGATCTTTAGTATTACCACAGATAACATAATATTACATACAGATACCCCATCCCATACTAGAAAATGGTTCCTTCCTAACTCGGGCTATTCTTCGGGCTATTTTATTTCGCCACCGTAGCCGCTAGATGTCGCTAGATCTGAAGCAGTTCGGATTACTAGTGGGTGCTTAGTAACAAAGCATGAAAATAGATGGCAGTCAATTCAGTCTACATGACATCTGTTTTGCAAAGATATGTATATAATAGATATGTAGGTAACTGTATCGTGTACCTCATTAGGGACGATTCAAGATTCAATGTAAATGTGTAGGTATAATATCGTTAGCCGACACTCTGCAGATATGGCTTATGTGCCAATGTATATACCTATTATGTTATGGTTTATTTTACATTCCATGCCTATTTTTTTGATATGTTGTAACGCGTCTGCGCTATACGTATAGCCCGATTTTGATACTTTTATACTCGTACGTATCAAAATCGGGCTATATGATTTTTTATTTCAATCGTTATGTGTAAGAGACTGGTTTTAGCTACAATTAATTTACTGGTATATACTTCATGTATTCTACGATGTACCCCTCTTTTCCCTAATGAGAATTCCGCTATATCTTATATATAAATTTTGTATCACAGTGTTAGTTGCCATATTTCTCCCACATTTTGATGAAATTTGATATGTATACTTGCCAGGTCTGAGGTAGGGTTGTTATCTATTTTTTATACCCCTAAGTCATAGGGGTGGCCTACCCCGAAAAAATATTTTTTTGTATTATGGACAATTTTTTATTTATTTATAATATTACATTGAAAATACATACACGCCTAAATTTTCACCCGTCTTTCACCAACCCCTATTTTTAATAGCGATATTCTTACAAATATTATAAATGCTAAAGTAACTCAGTCTGTCTGTTTGTCTAGCTTTCACGCCAAAACTACTGAACTGATTTAATTGAAATTTGGTAGACAGATAATGTAGACCCTGAGAAAGGCTACTTTTTAATGCGAAAAAGTATTGAAAGGGGAAATGAAAGGGTATGTGAGGATATCGTAATTTTTAAAGTCAGATCTTGTAAGATTAAGTGAACAGGGTTGGTCTAGGTTTTTCATTATTAGAAATGTGTAACGGGGTAACACGTTATTTAGTGCGAAATTGTGTATATTACAATAAAATTTAACGAGAAAATATTATAATGATGTCACTGGGACACTCATTGCCTTACTACTATATCGTCCGTTAAACACGAGAGGCGCGCTCCTATTGGTTAATAGATGAGGTAGACGAGTCTCACGGCGCCGCAGCGTAAGTACTTACTATACATACGTAGTATACATATGGGTGTTACAAATGTTTTTATTACGAGTAATATTACTCTGTTATCTAAGCAAGTAATGTGTGCTTATTTTGAACTTGATAACATTCTGAATTACTCGTATATCTTTCAATATCTTTAGCGGTATAAACCAGGTTATGTACTACTACTAGTATTGTTAGTGAGGGATAAAGTTGATGAACAAAAATAAAACAATATTCGTATTAAAAATATATTCATCTAATATTTTTGGCATTATTTTTAAGTTTCTTCCAAATACAAGGGGTCTGACATGGGGTGTTATGTACCTACATTAAAAGATAATTTTTGAAATGTATGAAAGAAATGTATGTACCTACATTAAAATATAATTTTTGAAATGTATGAGATGTATGAAAGAAATGTATGTACCTACATAAAAAGTTCATTTTTGAAATGTATGAAAGAAATGTACGTACCTACATTAGAAGATAATTTTTGACATGTATGAAATGTATGAAAGAAATGTGTGTACCTACATTAAAAGATAATTTTTGACATGTATGAAATGTATGAAAGAAATGTAGTACCTACATTAAAATATAATTTTTTAAATGTATGAAAGTAATGTATGTACCTACATTAAAAGATAATTTTTGACATGTATGAAATGTATGTACCTACATAAAAAGTTCATTTTTGAAATGTATGAAATGTATGAAAGAAATGTATGTATGTACCTACATTAGAAGATAATTTTTGACATGTATGAAATGTATGTACCTACATTAAAATATAATTTTTTAAATGTATGAGATGTATGAAAGAAATGTATGTACCTACATTAAAAGATAATTTTTGACATGTATGAAATGTATGAAAGAAATGTATGTACCTATATTAAAAGATAATTTTTGACATGTATGAAATGTATGTACCTACATAAAAAGTTCATTTTTGAAATGTATGAAATGTATGAAAGAAATGTATGTATGTACCTACATTAGAAGATAATTTTTGACATGTATGAAATGTATGTACCTACATTAAAATATAATTTTTTAAATGTATGAGATGTATGAAAGAAATGTATGTACCTACATAAAAAGTTCATTTTTGAAATGTATGAAATGTATGAATGAAATGTATGTACCTACATTAAAAGATAATTTTTGACATGCATGAAATGTGTGTACCTACATTAAAAGATAATTTTTGACATGTATGAAATGTATGAAAGAAATGTATGTACCTACATTAAAATATAATTTTTGAAATGTATGCACCGTACAATAACAATACACGTTAAACATCATACCACAGAGTCATACGCAAGTTAAAAACAAACTGCTATGATATATTAATGAGAAAGGAAAATCAACTTTATGGTATTCGAGTTAGGGTCGATTTCTCTCTTTTTTTTAAATACTATTTTAATCTTACCAGTTGCCAGTATTCGAAGACAGCTACGATTCGTACTCGATATTTTAAATTATTATGTAATCGATTATTCAGTACAAATGTAAATAACCAACGACACTAATAATGTACTACTATATTCCGTTCTTTGAAACGGAACACTGCTATAATACATAATAATGAAAATTTACTGTTCACAACGACTCATTAAAAGCATCATCGAATAATGCGCTGTAATAAAATCCTGTTATCGATTATTCAAAAAAATCGATAATACATGTATTTATTTTTAATATGACAACACTTCATACATAAGTATTATTGGAAATAGTATTACTTGCTTGTTCGGCTATTTTTAATTTACTTAAAAAAATTTTATATGTTTAATTTACAATAATAATATATTAAGTGCTTATTATTGGAAAATATAAAAAAGACATTTAATTAGGCCGATACAAATGACGACAATGCCATCTATGAAAGCATTTTGAAAACATTGAGCCCCATATTAGCACTGATTAAAGTGTAATTAAGTACTGGAAAATAACAAAATGAGTAAATATATGAAAATTACTTTTCTAAACGCATTATTTCATTTTAACATGTATATATAACTTTTTAAAAATTGATTAAACATTTTTGAAAACACAGTTTTGTTTTTTAAAACGTTTGCAAAACTATGAAGAATTCCATCGATACCAATCACGCCATCTATATGCAACTTTTAGCAATAATAATGGCTACTTCCTTATTGAGTGCCACTGGTATTACTATATATTATTTATAAAAGAAAGTTATTTAGAAACTTCGTTTTTAAAACTTTTTCCTTTTTCAAACATATTTTTTAATTGTTTGTAGTAATTTAACAAAACATTATATTGCACTCCTTATTGAATATGGATAATGTTAATCATAAAAACATGAGGCATTTTATTGATTTTGAATTTAATTGAACTTACCTGTATTTGAAAATAATTGCCAACATCCAGTAGTATGTCCTCCGCAATTCCGTGTGTTTCTTTATCGGTTTTATTTGCTAATAACAAGCCGAGACAACAAGGTAACTTGCAGGTATAGTATGCAGTCTTAAATTTTACGATAGCATTATAACGGTCTATCGTGAAAAGACTGTAGTCATTTTTATTACGGTGGGCCATACTGTAATCCAAATGCTGTCCTATTGATGTAAATAGTAATGTCTGAAAAAATTATAGCAATTAACATATATGTTATGTATATAATAATCTATTGTTTTTCACTAAGTAAAGACGTATTTATCTCGTTTATTTCAGCTATAATGCAGCTTGCTTTTTAGGGTGTAATCTAATTAAAGGGTTTGAAAAATCTAATTAAATTGATATACCAGCGAAATTTCACTGTATGAAGGCATCTCGTCCGAATTCTCTAGGAAGGCAAGACATGAGGTAGAACAAGGGGCGTCACATTACGTGATATCCATGGAGTTCTTCATATATATAGGTGATGGTTGCCACTCACCAACAAGTGGGCTGTTAGTTTATTTCCCATTCCAGTTACATGAAATAAATTAACTATAAAATTTGTAAAGGATGTGTTATATGTAGACTATGCTAGGTAATGTAAAGTCGACCTCATGAGAATTATGTTGTCATCCATAGTTTTACTAATCCGCATAAATTCGTCTGCGTTACACTTACTTCATATTTATCATTACATTTCGCTCAATTTACATAATATCTTTTTAAATTACATATAGCCTATGAGTTATTCTGATGCATAGTAGAGTAAGAAACATCCATCCATACTCACAAACTTGTGTTTATTTATAATATTAGTAAGATGATTCTAATTTTTCGTGTGAATTTTGTCCATGAGGATGGTTATGTAAGACAGAGGCGAAGTTATTATATACTATGATAGTTGAGAAGCGGAAACGTAAGTAATAACCTACCTCATTAAAAAGGTTCAGTATATCATTGTATTGTGGCTTATCACCAAAGTTCAATTTCAGTGTTTGGTAAATAGAAGTATAGATGAGTATAGAATCATTTATAGCTCCCAAGCCGACTTCCGGTATCCGGTACCAGCAGGGGACACCGCGACGGGTCGTCGACCCATCCATAATGTCGTCTAGCATGATTAAATACGCCTGCAACTGTAAATAATATTCCTGTCTTAATATCTTTACATTTCATGAAATGACAACACAATTTAAATATACCGAGTGAAATGTGAGCATGTCAACGTGTGTTGCGTTCAACACAACATCGACAGTTGACCATGCCTCTGACAACCTCACCTAGGACAACTGTCGGTGATGGTATGTTATGTTCAGATTACACATAGTCAAATACCAAATTTATATATCAAATATAAGTTTATAATATAGGTAGCAGATAGCTTTGTAAGTTTGATGTGATATTTATTAATGTTAATGATACTACTCATCAACATTAATAAAATGAATATCCAATTGATGCGGCTTTGTTTTTAAATTTGAGATTATTTTCCTGACAAACTATTAAAATTAAACTCCCTTTATGTTAGTGTAGATTTATCGCGGGAAGTGAGTAATCTTGCACGAATTAATCATACCTACCGGAATTTACATAATTACGATGAAACACCTAGATGGTATTCTACGTTACCGTAGTGAAAATTGATGGGGACATAAAAGTTCTGTGTAATATTACAAGACAAAATTTTACTGCATTATAGATGTGAAAGTGAATCCATTAACAAAAAAATTACGAATAATACAAACGTTGCGAGACCTCGATAATGAATGCTTTTAACGCATCTTCAATATTTCGAGTTTCAAATAGTATTTTAGATGGTAAGGCTAATATAGATAAAAATTGGAAAAAAAATTAAAAGGCTATTAAAGATAAGATAGACTAATATTTTGGGGAGGGGCTTATTGTTAGCTGGCTACTATTGTGGCATTGGCATTACTATATGTACATCAGTTTAAATGAAAGGATAAAGGGTAATATAAGACGGGCAAAAAATACAAGAGGTTATCCACAAATTACGACATATATTAAAGGGAGGGCCGGTCGGCAAAGTGTCACAGTGTTGAAGAAGAAATGGGAAAAATTATAAATTTGTGGCGCGAAATACCAAAATTAGATTTTATTAATACAGATTTCATTTCGATTAATTTAAGAAAATAACAGCTTCGGAAGCTGTATGAGAAATCTGACCAGCTGTAACACGGATGAGGAAGGGAGTCAATAATAATGCATGTCGTGCGACGTACTTACATAACCGTAGACGAAACGAGATTAAAATTTTATAATTAGGTGAGGTTGCCTCTCTTATTGTTAAATGTAACTCATCAGGTACAACGCTAAATATGAAGTTCAGATAACACGGAAGAACAAATTAAAAATATAATAATGGAAAAAGGGAAAAACGGGGTCCGTAGACAAGTCTTGTAACATGTTTCATTGTAGATCAAAATGAAACGAGACTTGTAATAGAATGTCTAATAAGTACTTTTATTATATTATTCTAGCTAGACTAATAGTAGCATCTCTGTAGTAGAAAAATCATATATATCGTGTTTTCCTCGACATGGGGTTAAATAGTGAAGATTAGGTTCTAAGAAATAAATGATAAAAGAATTGATAATATGATACCCTCATCATATAATCAATTCTTTTACGACAACAATGAACAAATTTTTTAATAATATTACATTTCTAATATTGTGTAGTATTGCCGTATTTCACAATAAAGTTCAGTAACAAGTAACAATCTACATAGAAGCCTAATTTCTCTACATTATAAGAATGGTGAAGAATAAATATTTCTTTTTCATATTGACGTCATTTCATTTATTTTTAAGTAAATATTTCCGGGTCTATATGATGTATATTCTTAGCGCTATAAATCATTGCGCAAATAATATAAGCCGGATACATATGTATTTACGCAAATATTAAACACCTGGTTCAATGAATAAATTATTTAAATGCATTTCCTAATCATAAAGAAAATAGAATACTTATTTCGATATATGTTTTTACTGACTTTGTTAAAGAGTTCGAATTGGAGTCTAGTAATTTTAAAATGGGATACATTTTACATGGGCTACTCAGCAAATAAACTAAGTACTCTTCAACAGCGATTGGAGAAGTCTGTTTCTTTACTCCTAGATTACATACACAACAAATTCATAATTAAATAAATTATATTTACCATTTCTACACACCATCCCATAATCCGAGCCTGTCTCAGGGACTCCTCAGTAATCTTTTCCGGTGATTCCAACATTTCATAGGAAAAAACAGTTATTAATCCTCTTGTTTTCTTTCCACCCTCTAAGTTGTAATCTAGAATCTACAAAAAAAAAAGGATTATAATCCACTACCATTAACCTTAAAAATGAAAGGTTTTTAAAAGTAAATGTGTTTATACAAAATCATATATTTAATTTCTCTAAGAAATATTAAAAAAAAATCTAACACTGGGTTGCTAATTCTATGTTGCAATACATGTATAGAACATGCCCATTATGGCAAATTCATTCACAATTAACCATGACCATAAATTTTGTTTTGTCTGCTAATATTAAAGGCTGTATTTATCAGTTACTTAAATACATAAAGTGCCGCTAGGATGCAAAAAAAATATATAAATAAGTATATACAAACTTTTTTTATCCAATTAGCTACTTCAGGTACTTCAGACATTTTTTCAGTTTTCACTACTGATTCCATTACATAAGGTAAAATATCTTGAAATGTTTCCTTCTCTTTTTTGGACTGAGATACCGATATATTAGTTGCCATTCTCATATGAGTAAAGTGTTGAAAAGATCTGTGAAGAATAAGCTGATTTTTGTAGGTGAAGATTGTAGATTGGTGCAGAAGTTGTATTTCTTGAGTGATAACTCTTTTGATTCTAATTTTGTAAAGCAATTAGTTACCTAAAACTCATAATATCCTTTCAAAGTTGTTTGCAAGCAATAGAAAATTAATTGTTAACAATCTTCTTAAGTCATAACTAATAGACAGCAGGACTGTTATAGGCATCCCGGGAAAATTAAGGTTATATACCAGTATGGGTAATGTTATGTATAGCAAAGTGTATATGTTATCAAATATATTTATGTACAGACCATACATACATTTATTTCTGACATATAGGAAAGTAAGTACCTAGTTTAATTTTTTATTGATAGTCAAAAATGATCTAAAAGTCTTGTTATTTTGAGTCCACTAACATTAACAATGTTTTATTACATATATCTTCAAAACAAAATAAAATTTTTTAGTTTTATTTTAAATTAAAGTTGTTGATTGACATTGATACAAAGAAGCAATTTCAATTACACTTTTTTTAAATTATAATAACTTTTAAATCCTATATCTGCTATACAAATGCTAAATCTGTATTTAAATAAGCAAAATGTACAATAAAAGAAAATAATAAAATATAAGTACATAATAAAAGTGATATAATTATCTGCATGCCATACATTTAACCAGAAAAAATATAATAAAAAATCTGATCAATTAAAAATTGAAACTAAGAATAACAATTCAATAATATTTTTTTCATGTATATGGATGATTTAGATAATTATAATCATAAATATTTTTGTGATTTATATTTATTTCCCTACCATTGAGTATGCACATTCTATTGGGAAGAACTGGTAAGACACTGAATTTAAAAAATATAAATATTAATTCAGTTTATTTACATTTTATTTAAATAATAGACAGTCTTCCTGTGAAGAGTATACTTCAGGATACATTGGATTACAATGATTTTAAATTGTTATAAGCTTTACATAGTTTAATTCAAACAAATTTGTTAAATTTTAATTTTCTTTTTAAGTATATATATTTATAAATAAGTCTGATGCATTATTTTTATTTTATTCTAGAGAAATATTACTGTATACAGTATCTTTATAAGAACTAGACATTCAGTTGGTATGGAATATAGTACTTAATGAAAAAATAAAATTGTTATATAAAAATTATTATTTAGTATAGTTTTTATATAACAATTTTATATTTTTAGCATTATTTTATTTGAATATACTTGATTAGCTGAAAAACAATATGTAGAAAATAGCAAGTATATAAATATTTAAACACTACATTTTACAATATGAAACCAACCTGATATAATTATTATATTTACTACTGATCATCCTGACAGAGCAAGGTTTACTGTATAGTGTGCATAGTACCCATGCAAGATAATCAGCATATTATCTGGCAATGTAATCATGCTTTGCATGCCATTCAAATGTATATTAATTTTTAACAATCTTATCAGTTTCTCAATATGCATTTATTCTTAACAATGCTATCTCTTTTTTAATCACATACTATGTAAATAAAGTGGATATCATTGTATAGAAATTGGGGTTAGGTGAAAGTTATACATACAAAACTTAGTTAAGACAATCATTGCTACTTACCTACAAAAAACTGCATTTTTAGGGAACACATTATAAGGTTTATTTATGAGTAATTTAAGTAAATATTTAGAATTCATGTTTATATTAAATTTGCTTATTTATAACTTTCACTGAAGAATTAAAAATATGCTAATACGTGCGCAAAATAAATATATTTTTTTGAATTAAAGTCTCAGTGGACAGTTATAAATCTTATAGAGAGCTAAAGAAATAAAGGTATAATGATAAAAAGTTCCAAATTGAACTTAACAATGTAATTAATAGATTGTTGAAGTTGGACTCTCTATTTTATATTAGTTAACTTTAGGCTACCTGCTATTTATTTTGTTTTGTCAGTGTCAACTGTCATGTTATTGGTGTTGTCATGTTGTCACTGACATTATTTTATTTCCCTGATCTGTGATTAGAATACCACGTCATTTTATCTATATAACTTTATTGCAAGAAAATCTTGCAAGGAAGTTATATAAGGTTTAAATTTATAAGGTTCAAATTCATTCAAACATGTTCAACATACCAAACATGTTCCTGTTACCTAGAATGTAAACAAAAAGGTGGCGCCACCATGTTATACCATTAAGATGCAATGAAACTCTATATAATTTTTGAAATTGGAATCATTAATATTTATTAAAGTTGATTTTAATTTATTAAAAAAAGGTAAGTACCTACATAACTATTAAATTATCAGATGGCATCATTATATTTTTTTCTTTCATTTGAAAAGAATAAAAGCTATGTTTCTTGTCAGTTTTTCTCCGCTCGAAAGCATTCTAAACTGACGTTAGATATGACATATCATAAGAGTTTGTTACAGAATCTATATGAATAACACTTTTATTTTGATATTTTGACAACAAAAAAATATATATTTGTAGTTTCCATACTATAGTAATTTTTACGGTAGTAACTACAAACCAACTATTTTTTTCATTCAAATAGCTGTAATTAAAATAGTATATTTTATTAAATATGACACAAAGGTTGTTTGTTTTATATAAAATGGCTGTAGTGAAATATGTGTAAATAAAAAATAAATATTTTGATATAACATTCCTATATTTATTTTTTACTAATGTATGTAACCCATGTAAATTGCTAATTAATATTAATTTCCGATTGTCGCTCCACACTATTAAAGAATCGCAAAACGCTGGCAACATAGGTAATGTCAAATTTGTCTCTGAAGTAAAAAATACGGCCTATGAACAAAGAGTAAAGCAAAGAGTAAAATAAATATACCAAAAGGGAGTAAAGTAATTATACCAACTATAGCCCTGGGCTCTTGAGTAGTCTATTCTTTGGCCCTAGGTGAGAGATTATGAGATGAAGTTACTCACTGAGCTGACTGCTGAACTAAATTGAACTGCCAACTAAATTAAATAATAAATGAAATAACGGAAATCACATATAACATTTTTATTTTTTATTTGTAGTTTAACTATAAACAATATAGATAATAAGTGCCTTCGACAAAATAACACGTCTATACGTCTAAGCTGCGTCCGCAATAACGATCAAATAATGTATGTTAAATTGACCGATTCATCGACCATACTTTACAGCTATCACATTTTACCTTTTGTAACCAGGTATATTATCAGTATTAATACCAGAGTATTATAGTTAATTTTAATTATGGATAATTTTATAGTAATAAGTAAGTAGATTGAATCTAGGTTGTTATTAACTTTATTTTGTTTCAATATTTCATAAATACAACTAGAAAGAGTATACATTATTCCTAAAATTATATATTTAAAGCTAATTAAAGTCTAAAATTAATTAATCAATATAATTCAATTAATACTTCGCCTGAAGATGTTATCTAATAATTTGAAGAACAAATCGTGAGGCAATCCTCTTGTGACTTGTTGAATTTGTGTCCTAAGGAGATCATATGTGGCGTCTTCATATACTGAGTATGTATGAGGGAGCTGAAGTTCTTCGTACAAGTCTTTGATTCTAGCAACATCTTCAGGTTTGCTGCTACCATAGTATTCCTCCATAATCTGCTTTTGAGCGGATGTAGCCCTTTGAAGTGCTACTACAGCTAGCCACGTGCATTTACCATCCTGTATGTCGGTACCATTCTTGCCCGTGACAGCGGGATCTCCAAAGCAGTCGAGGAAATCATCCTAAAAAGAGTGAATATTTTATTTGGTGAGTAAACTTGAAACAAACCACATATTGAAGAAAATGAAATAAGGTTAGGTGTTGCTTGGTCCTTTTTTTAATATTAAGGGTCCTTTCGATGTAGTTACACCTTGTTTTAATCCGTTTTAGTACCGCAGATGCAGCAAGCGTGACAAGTCTTTCTTACATAAATCATTACTAATAAATAAATTACTACAAAATACTTGTACCCACCTGTATTTGAAAGAACTCGCCCATTTCTAATAAGATTGTTTTTGCTTGTCTATGGGTTTCGGGATCGTCAACGCCGGTCATGAGCAGACTCAGAGTGACAGGCATTTGAAAGGTGTAGTAGGATGTCTTATATTTAGTAATCGTCTCGTACTTCTCCATTGTGAATTGTGATAAGTCTGGCTTATCAGTTTTTGACATGGACTTTTCTAAATATTGGCCAATAGAACACTTTAGCAGCATCTGTAAATTGCAGACAAAAAGATATTGATTTAATCATTTCAGTCAATCCCCTAGAACGCATAGGTTTCAGATTTAGAATTATTTTTATCTTAGTGGATACTTTTATAAAAGTAGAGTTGAACGAAAATAGATCTTCCGTAACACTCGAATAAAATATTGGGAAGCATATACAAAAGAAATGGTCATAAAATACGAAAACTTTGTATTCGGTACTTCCCCAATAAATAATTCCTGTCTGCGGAAAGTGGCAAATTGCACTATAGGAAATTTTGCAGTAGATAGGTACAGGCTGTGATAATACTTAATGATCTCGTTACCTCGCCCAGCAGTACGAGGGTTTTATATAAGCCTTAAGATTCATAAGTACCCGAATACTTATTACCTGTATTTACCCAAATAGACAATATTAGGGTAAATATGAAAAAACATAAAGACGTAAAACTTTCACTTACCTCATTAAAAGTTTCAAGTACATTCTTGTAATAAGATTTAGAGCTGAAGTACTTTTTAAGAGTAGAGTACATCGCTGTTTGGACCAGAATAGCGTCGTTGATTCCACCAAGACCGACGTCAGGACGACGGTACCAGCATGGCGTTCGTCGCCGCATTTCTGTACCCTCCATTATGTCATTTAATAAAAGATGATGAGTGTGGAACTGCAATTAAAAGAAATTACTATTATAGTAACAAAATGTATCGTTATAATTAATAATAAAAATATCAGATGTTCTTTTTATGACTTGTAATATTCATCTTTAATATTCGAAACTTAGGTAGTCGAGTTTGTAGTGAACATATACATACATAGTACATTGTAGTGGTAACGGCACTAATTACGCCGAAGAGTTATTCTGACATCTAAATTGCCAGTTTTTGTGACGGATGGTTTCGGACCCTCTAGCGTCATGGTCAATTCGGCGTAAAGGAAACCCATAGATCACTCTGATAACGCTTCATTATCATCAACATCATTACATAGTATAAAACAAAGTCGCTGTCGCTGTTTGTCCCTATGTATGCTTAAATCTTTAAAACTACGCAACGGATTTTTAAGTTATTTTTAGTAGATAAAGTGATTCTAGAGGAAGGTTTGTATATATTATACATGCGCACCCGTGCGAAGCCGGGGCGAGCAGCTAGTAAATGAATAATACGAGAGATATAACACCTAGTGCTAAAATAGTAAAAACATAGATAATACAAATCATTAGAGATTTCAATGTGAAACAAATAGTTCATGTTAACTTCCTGGATGAAGTAATGTATACTGTTTTGGAGTACATATATATCTATGGTATTTGATAAAAACGGACCAGTTTTATCGTTCGTATGGACAAACAAAGTCTCAAGGCTACTCGCCATTGCTTATAAGATCTTGATAACGTATATAGGTATCTATGTATGTATTTGCTTTAAACTTAACTGTTATAAATTCACATGTTCGTTAGTTGATTTAGTATATAATTAGGTATTCAGTGACGTAACCTACTAATTAATTAAGGATGATATCGACATGACATGTAATCTACTGATATATATTGTTAATTAAATTGCGATCTCGCTGGTTTAATCGCCGTTGTTCGTGGGTTCAACCCCCGCAGTAATAATATGTTTACCTACATGTTTATTCATAACGTATATATAAAAAATATTTTCATTTGTTCTAATAATAATTATATAAGTAACATGTATTTGATTTTAATTTCAAGGTAATCGCTATAGTGTTATTCGCCTTGTCTACAAGTTAATATTTGAATAGTAAGTAGTTTTTTTTAAATTCTTATTATTTTCAACCGGTCGATCGTGATTATCTATTTTTGTATGTCCCACGATTTAATGTTATTAGTGGGAATTTATTTCGTAAATTACTTATCAACTTACCATTTCTGTGCACCATCCCATTATGTTGGCCAAATGTACAGACTCAGGTGTGAGGTTTTCAGGTTTCTCGAGCATTTTGTATGCAAGCACGGTGGCGAGACCTCGATTCTTTTTTCCGTTAGGAACATTATATTGTAACAGCTGTAACAAGAATGCTTGCTTATTCATACAATATATACCTAGAATGAACTAAATATCTATTGTTGATATCCTTTGTATTAAGTAAGACACAGACACTGTCACGCTTCGACGACATGAGGTTCAAAATAAATAAAATTGAATACATATTTTTATTTATTTTGAACCTCATGTCATCGAAGCGGAGCGTCGAGCGACAGGACTAGTTATTTCTGTATTTTCTATCTATATTTGTCATCGTGCACTCATATATTAAAGCTTTGCGTACTTCAAGACCGCTGTGCTGTGAGAAACAAAAATTAACACCGTGACAATGAGACGTTGTTTCTATTGGAGTACCGGCACCGCAGACATACCTGTAGATAGATAGATGTCTGTGACATGTATCAAATTTCATTCAAATTCGTCTAGCCGTAACAAATATAAGTGGGCATCTAGCCGTTACGTGGGTATTGTTTGTATCAGTAGTTCTTAACTTTCCGGTGCTTAGGAATGTTTTAATAAACCTTCTATCTTACCATGTACCACCAACTGTTTAGGGGTAATATATAGTAAATATGAGCGAATAGAGGGTTGTGTCACTTATTTAATTTTACTACTATGTCGTGGCAGGGTGGAAAGGATTGTAATTAATGGGGCCTAATGATTCCATTATTAACGGTGATCCCCGCGGTTCTTCTTGAAAACTATCGTGTTTAGTTCCTGGTGAATTCCTCGCGATGGGCTAACTAACCTGACTTCATTCTCATTCTATCATACTCCACTGGTGCTCCAACAGCGTTTACCGTTAGCGCAGGCGTGAACACTCCATTCCGTTTAATGGGCTACCCATTTAAAATGTGTCGTATATTAAAACAGAGTCAATTGCTATACGAAAACGTCTACTCGGACCTATTTATATCCTTTCCTAAAGACCACCCATTAAGAACCACCGGTTTCTATAATATCTGTAAATAACAGAGAGAAGCAACAATGAACGTACCTTAGCCAACCACTTGGTGGCTTCTGGCACATCAATGTGCTTCCCTGTCTCTGTAAGATCCCTCACGATGTCCGGGAAGCATGCCATGAACTCCCGAGACTGGTCCTTGGAGACGGCCAGTCCACGAGTCGCCATTGGCATTTCCTGAGGAGTCAGGCTGGACAGGAATCTAAAGAAAAGTTATGTATTCTTCAATTTAGGCACAGTAATACCTATAACGTGTGGATTTTATGGAAAAATGCACTGGTGTTTTTTGTATGATATATTCGGTGATAGAAATAAGTACTTATATAAACCTAACTATGTTGGTTACATCTGTTTGTTTCTCTAAATCTAAACATTCAATTTACAAGTAATTGAATTGGATTACTATGTATGTCTTTGTCAAAACTAAAGGATTCCGCGAAAGTATCTTTTTGCATAATGTATAAATTTGCCAACACAACTTTCTAAAACTAATTTAATTAATTAAAATGATCTAAATAAAAAGTACGCTGTAACTGTAGTGTAGGTACTTATTATGTATAATTTAGGATTCAGTATTCATGATCTAATATAAAATATTAAAATGTATTTCACTGAATATTCCTCTTTATTCATTAATAAAATAAAGTAATTAATAAAGATCTACTTTTTACGTACTTAGTAACTAATACTGTGCCTTATATTACGTCTTTTATACCTGATTAAGAATTATTGTACGTGTTTTATTAGTGCAAGATTAGAATTACCGGTGTATAACTATATCGAATAAGTTATCGGAAAATTAACAAATACACATGAAGTGAGTTCGAATGATGTTCATTATTTTAATGGGTATACCTATAAACACCGCACGTAACGTCTTGGTATGTTTGCATATTACTGATTCCGGCAAAACGAATCGAATAGGTATGTGTGATGGATATCAACGTAGTTTTTTACTCTGCATATTATTGCATAGCTCTGGTACATGTTTGTATAGGATGATATGGCTTCCAATATTACGCAAAGTTAATGTCGCTCCGGTTACTCGGGTTCACTGACCTGTGATATTTCTGCAACTTCAGCAACTTCTTCGGAAGTCCCGTTTCTTCGTTGGGCTGGGGCTTGGTCACTGTTTGGTCGAGCCTTGGAGTCATGGCGTCTGAGTTAGTAACACTGACGGTCATGCTGATTTGTCGACGGATCTCATTTTGATAGATCTGAACGATCTTCTCCAAAGTTTTCTTCGTCGCAAACATATTGAACTTTTTATTCTTATGTCTTAAAGATTATTTGTTTATTTTTATATATAATAATATTATATTTATTTCAACCGTTATTTAATCAAATATTATTAATCAATCGCCTTATCACGACAATACGCCGTCTAAACACAACGAGTTCGTATGACCGACTGATTCTTTGTTGAGTTTGTTGTTTTGCCTTCTTGTTCGTTCCACAACCACAATGCTACTCAAAATAAGCAAAAGGGATGTTCGTAATGTTTACGTTTGTACAGTCGATATCGAAAGATTACATTTTATATAATAATACGAGCAGTATACGTTTAGAGGTCAAAAGATTTCAAATTCCATTTAGTACATGTATATTTCAATAACTTGTGAACTTAGTTGAAATATTTTTACGTTATGGGCCCATTTCTTCGAAACTGTTTTGAGAGCACCATTGTAATAAAATACACATTCATATGCATTTATTGCCATACACATTTTTAAATTAGACTTTTATTTTATTTTGGTCTTAAATAAAATAATGTTAATGTTTGTAATTTTGGCCACACGAATATTCTTATGATTGACGCTCATATTCAACGATAAAGGTTTTTAATTATAACTACTAGAGAGTCGTGCGTACATAATGTGTAAACCTCATGATTATTTTGTTTAAATTTGACTTGGTTTCATGTTATATATATATATTAATTAAGTAAAGTACTTCATTAATGTATAATAAGGTTTAGATAATTCTAGATTTTTTGTGGACCAAAATCATCTTCCTTTCTTTATATGTAACATAACGCAACATAGAATAATTTTCTAATTGTTTGTCAATTATCCGGTTTACATTATCGATATCGTCTGTTCCGCACTAGTGTCGATGCGCACGCAACAAAACAAACCGGCTGGTCCCCTCCATGTGGAGCGCCACGAGGGCGACGTCACGTAGGCACCCGGCAGCCGAGTGATCCGAGTATCGAGACACGGCGACAAGGGACATGGCGCATCTAATGGCGCATGCAAGTACTCAGCGGGTCGCCACTTCATTCCCAAAGACGCCCATGACCCACAAACGTAATAATTTCAACCAAAGGTGAACTACATGATTTAAGGTATAAATAGGGGAACAACTATTATATATTTATGTAATAAAATAGGTACTCAAGTGAAATCACTGTTAACAACGCAAATGTATTTGTATACTTATATGTACCTATATGTATTAAGATTATGGCGTGATAAAAAAAACTTATTATAATATCAGTAGGATTAGAACTAACAACCATTGGTGGTTATAAGACAGGAATGTTTTTCACTAGGCTACGGCGCTGTTATGTACTGCGTATATCCACTAGAATAAATTGAATAATAGTTCATTGTAAACATTTTAGGCAGATGCATGTAAAATCGTTGACTGAGTTTACCATGTCCAGGAACATATAATTAGCATTGAATGCAATATAAAAAATACAGACAGGTACCTACTTAGAATCCAGTAATTTTGATTCGACATTACTAGTTAATTTCCTTTTGACAATTAATCTATCGTCGCAGAGTTTTTGGATGTTAAGTATCACCTCTCTTCATCCAATTTCTGACCGAGTGTGAGGAATTGAAAATATAAATAAATCTAGGTAAGTCTTTAGAATTCAGTAATTTTGATGCCAAAATGGCTAGCTTTTGGATATTTGATTTATATTGAAGAAGTTTCGATTTAAGTATCATCTCTTTTGGTCTAGTCTTTGACGCTCACGACTTCAAGTCGTGATTGACGAATAAGTTCAACCACCTACACTAACATTTACATAGTATCCAATAAACATATTATTTTACATATTATGTATGTGTAAATATCCTCTACAACTGGTAGAGGATACTTGTTATTGTTTTACAAAAAATATTTAAATTAAACGCATGATATTATGACACTACTGATATAGGTACCTAGATGTTGTTTTTCTTTAAGCGGCATTTTAGTAAACAATCTTGACATGTCCTTCTATAGAAATAACGGTGCATAACAAATACTCAGGTAAATAAAAATTATTTCATATCAATTGAATGAAAATACGCACAGGGACTGTTTTTAATAATTTTATTATTAAAAGAAAATTTATGGATGCAAAATGTAAACATATTTTGATTGTTTTGTCTGATTATAAACGTGCACAAATATTGATAATATCGATAATATATCAATCAAATATTATCAAAAACATAAACAGACAAATAAATAAAGTTGAACTTTTACAAGACAAGATAGTAGGTCCACATATTTTGAAGGGTCAATAACATAGGTACTAACTTAACATAGCATAACCATAACACCTCATTAACGTCTCACACTGTTGAGCACGGCTCCCTCTTAATTAGAGGAGGATTTAACCTATTTGCCATTCCCACAATGGCCAGGTGGTTTGGTGTAGTAGGAATATATTTCGTGTTTTCCTTTTCTTGTACCGATTTATATGTTTTTAGTATGGTAACGATTAGTTTTATATTATCTATGTAGTCACCTAATCCTAGATAGAGATAGTCTTTATAATTTTTAAAATATTTTTAAGAAATTGTGTACCGTGTAATGCCGCTAACGGTAGGTTGCAGTCAGGTCCCCATTACAAAATAAAATCTTCGCTCTATGCCTTTAATTTGTATATGTTTTAACTATTTATATTTATAACATTAGCCCGCATTATCGCAGTTATTAAGTAAAGAATTTGGTTAGATAAATGACTATTTAAACAACTGCCACTTGCCACTGTGCCACGCGACCGGCGAATGTTTTATCGGCAGATTGATTTAAAATTTAAATGAACCACATGAAACTAGATTTAGATAAGATTAATTTTTTTGAGCATTTCTATCAATCAGCTCATATTATTTGACCTAGTTTAGAAAATATATACTCAGAAGTATCGCTGTTAGTGTTTTCAATATTTAGATATTATTCTATTGATAAATTTATCATTAAAAATATATACATTAAGATTAAAACATTTTGTTTTAACACATATAAAAAAATTGTTTAATTCCACGGTTATAAGTATACTATGAAAAGAATTAAATTATCAATAAGGTATTAGTTTCGGTCGGTCTCGATTCAGCCTGATATTAACTCAATGCAATTCACCTATATCCTTATCTAATTATAGATAGTCTTGTTATTTTTAAATGTAAACATGTTTGTAAAACGCCTTGTAAATATTTTTTACTGATTAATCATATCATGTATGTTTGTTTTTAGTATATAAACAGTAATCAGGAAGACTTATTATTAATTGCAAATATATAATTTCTACAATTCTGGTTCATTGGGAATATAGAAAGCTTCTTTAATTTGGAACACAAATGTGTATTTGCTCTTTCAGACCATCTTACTAGTAAATCCACTGTTATAAGATTACTGACAATTTTGTATGATTCATATGAGAGTACATGCATCTCTACGCACATAACATAATTCCTAGGTCGATCTAGTTAGAAGTAGAAAAGTAGTTTGGTACTAGAATCAGTTGCACATGGAAACCGTTTTGTTAATAATGGCGCAACACATGGAACCCTTAGACACGATCATTGCGAAATGAAAAAGTAATAGAAAAACTTGACGGAAATGTGGCAATGGTTTGAGCAATTTTTATGCAACGGAATTGATTTCGTCGGCACTGAGTGAAATCAGATATTATAGAAAACACTTAGCAATCTATAGATTTAATTATTGTTAAAAAATATTTGACCTACTAATATTATTATAAATATAGTTTATGCGATTTTATATAATTAGATTAGCAAGCATGCTGAGGGCCCACCGATCATAAATCGTAACCGTAGGTACACCTATAAGTGATATACGGGCATCATAATATAACTTATGTATTGCTATTACGAAAAACGAAAAACCTTATAAACTCTCTTTCAACTGAAAAATAGATTACAAAGTAAGCTGCTTGGAATTTGAAATAGAGACTGATTTACTAATGCAGCCTACGTTTTACAAAATCTAATTGTAATGTAATTCTAATTGTATGAAATCAAGTTATTTCAAATATAAAATGACATACCGATATAAGAATAAAATTAATTCTAACAATACTTAATATTTTAATTCTCTAAGCATTTAGTATCAATCATCCCATTAGAATTCCTTCCTTCCTCCCGCATACATTTATATAGTAAAATGCACCACCTAACGATGTTCTCTTCAGAGACTATTGGGTTTTTTCAAGAAGGGTATGTATGTATAAGGTTTGTCAAGGATTCGAAAAGCACACGTGACACCCCTGGTGTTTCAGACTTCCATTGGCTGCGGTAACCGTCTACTATTAGATGGGCCTTACCTTGTTTGCCATTATCGTTATTGCAAATATAACTACAAATAATGTTTTATTGTTTGTTGTTGCATTGGTTATTATGTGACTTCACCATAGTTTCAGCTGAAACGATAGAATGGTTGGAACTACATTGTAGCGGATCACTTCCTTTTATGTACTTCGTATATTTTGTCCTTATCTTTGACCATTTTTCCCGATATTCGAGTGTTTTATCCTGGTCGGCTTGAAAGGACTGTTCGTCGAAGTTATCATCCTCACACCATAGGTTGCGAATTGCTGCTTCACATTCGAATAGACTTTCGACACTGTCTGTGAGTGTAGTATATTTTTCGTCGATTGTCTCGGAGTCTTTTGCTTCGAACGCTTTTTCTATTGCATCGGATATGATGGTGAATTCCCGTCTAAATTGTGTTCTTTTGCGTTTCAGGATATCCATGGTGTTACACAACAAAAATAGTTTGTTTTATTTCGTCACGGTCGCCACTATATTGCAAATATAACTACAAATAATGTTTTAGGTGTTTATTACTTATTAGAAAATTTGCAACTGAATACACAATATTTGACTTATCAGTTTTTTCATGTTACTTAGCGACAATTCGAATTTAGAATAAGCATGCGTCACAATCGTAGTATAGAAAAGAATGTCCCTCTGTATATTACTCGGTAACTAGTTTACATTAATTATTAACTTCCGAGTGTGAGGTATAATCATTATCAATAATTAAGATTGATTGTCTATCCTCATTATAAAGTACTAACTGATTCCCGCTGCAGTGCTTCACTGATGCAAAGTTATATTTTGTTGAATATCCAAAAAATATTTTTTAGGTAAAGATTATTTTATTTATTTATTTTTAATTCGGAATTACATCCATATAGTATTATAATTTATATTTCTTAGTAAGTATGTATTTTTGTTTTTGTTACCTATACCTCTATTTCGTATACGCAGAAGGTGAAATTGATCTCTTGCTTGTTGATTTGTTATTATTCCAGAATATGTCTCATGCTAAATCTAAATTTTCTTTTTGCATTATGTGGATTATTCATACAGATGATATAATTGACTTTGAATTGATACATAATAAGTCCATATGAGCCACAATTCAATTAATGGAATATTTGACTGTGAACCGGAGATTATATAATAGAATTCAGCATAAAAACTTTTCAAATATTAAAGATTAATATTTGAAATTAAATGTTTCGACATTCTAGATTTAATATCTAAGTAAAAAAGTATAACGACGTCGATCCTAAAAATTGTAATAAGTATATTTTAGCACACCAATTGGAAAATCAAAAAAATAATATCATTGAGAAAAACAGTTTCCTAGGTTCAGTTGATCTGATGAGTCCCATGGGAAAACCAAGACAATCCATTACCTGTACAAATGTAATGAATAATATTCTGCGCAAGTTATAAAAATAATATAAAAAAAAGAATTAATTTAATTTTACTGCGTTGAACGTTACCTTTACCTATATAACTAGACTTAATTACGATTAGTAAAAACTATATTAAAGAAATAGAATAAAATAAATAGAAATTATGCATAATTTTTATTATGTATTTATTAATTACGCATATATTTTTTACAGATTAAATCAGATGTGTTTTACATGCACTTTACTTTCCTGTATAGGTACATGTACAATTAGGTACAACCGCTTGATTGTCAAGGTTAGGACACAGGATGTTAGAAACTTGTTTAAGTCTTACAATTAGGTCTTAGATATTATAATGACAGCCCTAGGAACAAGGATGTGCCATAACAATATGTAACTAATAACCTGTTACTTTGGAATTAGTAACGTTATTTAAAGTGCTAAGTAAGAAAAATGCACACCTATTATTGCATCACAACTGTTGCACATGACTGTATAGCGTACAGTGTAATATCACAGATAACATAATATTACATACAGATACCCCATCCCATACAAGAAAATGGTTCCTTCCTAACTCGGGCTATTCTTCGGGCTATTTTATTTCACTATAGCCGCTAGATGTCGCTAGATCTGAAGCAGTTCGGATTACTAGTGGGTGCTTAGTAACAAAGCATGAAAATAGATGGCAGTCAATTCAGTACATGACATCTGTTTTGCAAAGATATGTATATAATAGATATGTAGGTTACTGTATCGTGTACATCATTAGGGACGATTCAAATTCAATGTAAATGTGTAGGTATAATATCGTTAGCCGACAAGATATGGCTTATGTGCCAATGTATATATGTTATGGTTTATTTTACATTCCATGCCTATTTTTTTGATATGTTGTAACGCGTCTGCGCTTCCTGATTTTGATACGTTTATACTCGTACGTATCAAAATCGGGCTAACATTTTTTTATTTCAATCGTTATATGTATGAGACTGATTTTAGCTACAATTAATTTACTGGTATATACTCATGTATTCTACGGTTTTTTTTACCTAATGAGAATATATCTTATATTGTTGGATCGTCATAAAAATAATTAAAATAAGTTGTAAAACTATTGCGCAGCGTGCGGTATTCAACGACCAACTGCCGCCGGCCTCCCGTTGCCCAACATCCGTTGCTTAGCAACGAGCCATCAATATTTGCTTATATATATATATCTACTTAGAGGTAGTGTATTACAATATATAAATTTTGTATCACAGTGTTAGTTGCCATATTTCTCCCATGATGAAAATTGATATGTATACTTGCAGGCTCATTTTCTATTTTTTATACCCCTTCATGTGACATATTTTTTTGTATTATGGACAATTTTTTTTTTATTTATAATGCTACATTAAAAATACATACACGCCTAAATTTTGGCCCGTCTTTCACCAACCCCTATTTTTAATAGCGATATTTTAAAATATTATAAATGCTAAAGTAACTCAGTCTGTCTATTTGTTACAAACATTCTAATTACTAATATCTTTCAATATCTTTAGCGGTATAAACCAGGTTATGCACTACTAGTATTGTTAGTGATAAAGTTGATGAACAAAAATAAAACAATATTCGTATTAAAAATATATTCATCTAATATTTTTGATTATTTTTAAGTATCTTCCAAATACAAGGGGTCTGACATGTTTATGTACCTACATTAAAAGATAATTTTTGACATGTATGAAATGTACAAACCAATGAATTAAAATATAATTTTTGAAATGTATGAAAGTAATGTATGTACCTACATTAAAAGATAATTTTTGACATGTATGAAATGAAGATAATTTTTGACATTTATGAAATGTATGTACCTACATTAAAATATAATTTTTGAAATGTATGAGATGTATGAAAAAAAATGTATGTACCTACATAAAAAGATCATTTTTGAAATGTATGAAATGTATGAAAGAAATGTATGTACCTACATTAAAAGATAATTTTTGACATGTATTAAATGTATGAAAGAAATGTATGTACCTACATTAAAAAATAATTTTTGACATGTATGAAATGTATGAAAGAAATGTATGTACCTACATTAAAATATAATTTTTGAAATGTATGCACCGTACAATAACAATACACGTTAAACATCATACCACCGAGTCATACGCAAGTTAAAAACAAACTGCTATGATATTAATGAGAAAGGAAAATCAACTTTATGGTATTCGAATTAGGATCGATTTCTCTCTTTTTTTAATACATTTAATATTACCAGTTGCCAGTATTCGAAGACAACTACGATTCGTACTCGATATTTTAAATTATTATGTAATCGATTTTTCAATACAAATGCAAATAACCAACGACACTAATAATGTACTACTATATTCCGTTCTTTGAAACGGAACACTGCTATAATACAAAATAATGAAAATTTACTGTTCACAACGACTCATTAAAAGCATCATCGAATAATGCGTAATAAAATCCTGTTATCAATTATTAAAAAAAAACGATAATACATGTATTTATTTATAATATGACAACACTTCATACATAAATATATATATTATTACTTGCTTGTTCGGCTATTTTTAATTTATTAAAAAATTTTTATATGTTTAATTTATAATAATATATTAAGTGCTTATTATTGGAAAATATAAAAAAGACATTTAATTGGCCGATACAAATGACGACAATGCCATCTATGAAAGCATTTTGAAAACATTGAGCCCCATATTAGCACTGCTTAAAGTGTAATTAAGTACTGGAAAATAACAAAATGAGTAAATATATGAAAATTACTTTTCTAAAAGCATTATTTCATTTTAACATTATATATAACTTTTGCTAAAAACATTAAACATTTTTGAAAACACATTTTTGTTTTTTAAAACGTTTGCAAAACTATGAAGAATTCCATCGATACCAATCACGCCATCTATATGCAACTTTTAGCAATAATAATGGCTACTTCCTCATTGAGTGCCACTGGTAATATGTACCTACTGCTTGTTTATTTTATGTTCACTATTATGTGCTATTCATTTAGCCCGCGACTGCGTACCAGTAAACTTTTTTGTTTGTAACCAATTGAAATAAAACAAAAACAATATTTTAAGCCAAGGTTACCACAATACTTAGTAAAAATGGCAGCCAAATCAGTTGAGCCGTTTCTGAGACATAGACATACAAAAATTCTAACGATCTATGTTCTGGTTTTTTAGGTAATTAAAGTCAATCTTCTATGTGGTTTTTATTTAACCTAAGAAATATTAGTTTTAAAAATTAGTATGTATAAATAGAAACAAGTGACGAACATCAGCATATCAATATTTGCTTTTGTATTTTAAGATGTGATACTTATGTAAGTATGAAACAGTCATGGTTATGTAACCATGCTCATTTTCAGTCCGTTTGTGACATACTTAGTAAACCTTATAAAAGTATATATAGAACACGGTAACCGTTTCTATGCTTCGTTTTAATTATTTAATTCCTCATAATTACAACTTTAATTACTAAATCTGTACTTAGGTAATGCATATTGTGTATCATCGTGCAACCATACATTATATTGTTCGTATATGAGTGGACGTAGTCTCTAATACCTACTGTTTACTAATGTCTTAGTTCAAAACAAACCATGAATAAAAATATTTGTACCGCATGAGAATTAAAACTGCGATCGGAAATAAGACGATGTGCTAAACCGAGGCTGCTAATATTGTACCGTTTCGTCCTGAGTAAGGTCTGGTGCTTGATATCCTCGTCTTCAGGGTTGCAAACGCACACATATTTGAACAATTGCAATGCGCTACTGCATTCATTGCATAAAATTAATGTTCCTTCAAGAACACAAAATATAAACCGCTCACGTTTATAGACGGCCTCGGTGATCTAGCGGTGTACAAGTATCAAATTGTTTTACTTTGGATGGTCGTGGGTTCTATTCCTATTATGATACATTTGTATTCATGATCTTTTCTATTAGTCTGGGTACTTTTAAAGCATATTATGTGCTACATTTTTGTGTCTTATCTATATTGTTAGTACCCATAACACAAACGTCGAGCAAAGATGGCAAAAAGTAATATTACTCTAATATATCTTTGCGGGTAAAAATCATCAAATGATTATTATAATATCTATAATTTACTCTGACCATGTTGCCTTCGCGTATATTCCATGTGAAGAGGGCAGTGACTACGACGAACGTGTCTATCTACGCACAAGCTATCATTTATTAATATATAATATTTGTTTGAATTATTCTATCTATTGCTAAAAACATTCAAATTCGTTGCGTAGTTGAAAAGATCTAAGCGAACAGACAGTGGAAGCGACTTCATTTTATATTATCTAAAGATGAATAAAGAGGTATACAGGTGAATATGACAACATACAAATGCACCCTTCGATCAGTATTTTTATTAACAGATATTTTAATTTTTCTTGTTACAGGTCGACTACAAATCTCGGCCCACAGTCACTTCAAGGACACGTTCGACCTTAGAAAGCGTGCCAAACGTGTAACTAATATGGTAAATACGCCATTTTTTGTTTTCACATCTGCTGTCGGTACATCTACATTTCTCCCTGGGTAGATTTTCTATTATTAATACTATTGCAGTACATCTTAATAAAGGAAATTGAGAATCAATAGGAATGTGATGAATGGGCTATTATTTATTTATATTATACTTAGAAGTTTATTGCCGAGGGTTAACTCTTACATAAAAAAATCGTATTAGGAATGTCGTGGCTCCAATGTAGCCCGTAATTGTAATGCAATCGATTGGAAATGTTTAAGATATATCCTGTACTAACAGACCGGCCACGCGTCGCTCTGGCTAAGTTTCTTGAATAAAATAATATTGCCACAATAAATTGAGATGTAAGCTATCCTTCAAGTTGGATCAAATTGAACACAATTTGCAAATCAATTTTGCAATTGGTTCAGTAGGTTAGGAGTCTATCGCGGACAAACAACGTGACATGTAATTATAATATATAAAGATATTGAAAATTGTTATTTTATGACATGTTTTGAACTCCTATCTCTCTCACCGTGGAATCATTGAAGATGTTTATAGTTAAAATTTTGTTATGCTGTCAGAATTACAAATGTTCATCAGTATCACAACTTTTGAATTTTTGTTGAAATGCTTAGTTTAATTAGGTAGTGTAATTATAAAGTCCATTAATTAAGATATCGTTAGTTTAGTCTTCATTAAAATCTCATCAAATCATATGACTTAAAGAGATCTGAGAATTTTGTAACAAATATATTGTGGACTATAGGCGCAGCATGTCTTTTGCAATAAGCATAATGATATGAAAGAATTACTATATTTAACGAAGTCGATGGTTTAGCATACCTACTTCTTTTATATCCCTTTGGTTGTAGGGTGATTCCCCATATAATACAAACATTTATATTAACGGTCTCGGTGGTCTAGTGGTTTAGCACACCGCCTTACTTCCGATAGTCGCGGGTTCGAATTCTCGCACGGCATAAACATTTATATTCATAAGTATGATTGTTTGTATCGGTCTAGGTGGTATTCTATGATTTGTATGTATAATATGTATGTACGAAAAAGATGGCGCTTTGTGAATTGTCCCTGAGATTATCATCTTTTTCTTTTATTATATTTATATTTTTGTGTAAAACAATATTATCTAACAATAAGCAAATTATACACGTAATGGCTTTACATCGAATGCAATAAGCGCAAATAGATACACTCACGACTTCACGAGCAATATGTAAATATTATTGTATCTTGCTTCCATAATAATATATTGGTAAAATGTAATGTGTTTTGAGCTGTCAATAATGTCACTGTACTGACTAAGTAGTAAACTATTTACTTGTTATCGCCTACATATAATAAATAAATTAGATACAATTATATCAAGTCTATATTTAGGTTCCACTACTTGTTGTACAATTTCCTATCTAACCTAAAAACCTTTTGCGGTAAACATTTATTTACTTGTATTACGAATCTGATTTAGCTTCAGTAGAGTATAGTATTATAAGCGATAGCGATCAGCGATATTGAATTATATTTAATCTTTATTGTACATATTTATAACTTTTAGGTATTTTGTTCGTGTTCTTTGCTAAGCTTTAGGATTGTGATTTATAAAGTTTTCTATTTTTATAATATATAAAACGAAAACAACAAAAATAAAAATATTTTTATTTCAATTATTTTCGTTTATTATTTCTGACAAAAACAAGTGTCTGTCACTTAATCTGTATGCATATTTAACATGCGCAATATTTAAAGAAAACGTACCTAACCTGACAGTTAAAAAGCTTAATTATTATTCACTAGCTGACCGGCGCAACTTTGTCTGCATCACAATTACTTTACTTTTATTATTATGTTTTGCCCAATTTTCAGTAGTTGTTGCTGTTATATTTACAAACTTTTGCGTTTATAATATTAGTAAGAGGAGAAAACAGATTGTACTATTTTTACAAAACCTGATATTAAACATAACAATAATTATTATTATACATGTACCTACACATGTATAATAATAATTATTGTTATGTACATTATACGATAAACATATTTATACAGTTGTACAAATATTATTCAGTCTTGCACATGTATGAAAATATTTTGTTATTTAGGTGGATTATGTATTTTTACGCAATAAAATATGTTTTTCACTGAATTCAATTCAAATTCAAATTATCTTTATTCCTGTAGATTACAGACTTTTATGATATGTCCAATCTACCGTCAGTTCGGAATGATTTCGAGATGAGAAGAACTGACAAGAAACTCGGCTAGTATTTTTTTTTATTTTTGTAAAATATCTAATCAGTGTTCGCAAACCTGAATAGACCAGTCCACACAAGCAGCACCCGTTCACGAGTATGACGGATGAGTCAGCCATCATTGCACTCAACCATATTATAGGGAGCACATCGACCCGGCCCACCACGCTGCCACAAGTTTGAACTTTATAGCGAACATGACTGTTTGAAGTTACTCCACTACGTCATTTATATTATTTACAGCATAACCTGTACCAATCACAGTTTTCACCCATTACAATATTTAATTTACGTTATTTAAATTACAATATGTCATTACTAAATTTACAATAAGTTGAATAATACTGCATTTAGCACAAAGTATGATATATCATATATGTAATTGACGTAAAATGATTCGCCTATGCTTCTTATCTATTAGTTTGTACATAATAAACTTCACTACATAGGTCAGTTCCTATCTATAAATATGATAAATAGTAGCATAGGTCTTATTCATATGTCAGACAACGTAATCCTCTAAATCTTTAGACATGATGTTAGTAGTTATGTACATATCTGTCTTACTATACCCGAATAATATTCTATTAATTTCCTTATTTATTGTTTAATTTATTGGACTTTATTTATTTATTAAAATAATTATTCTTAAAATACTTAACTATTCAGAATAGAACAAAAAAAAACAAAGAAGTGAACAACTTAATTTAAAGTAATACAATTTAAGTTAATGTACTATATAATATACTATATACTTAGAGCAAATAAGCTACATAATAAGACCATGAGAATACGATTATCCGACATGATCAGATGTCCTGATTGATAAGTTGAACAAAACGGAAGATCCACCTCCTGTTATAGGTATTGTGCTAAAAATCTATTTAGCAAATCCTCTGAACCGACATTACGACCTGTAATCTTCATTTGGAATCAGCGATTATGAGTTATGTGTTGACCGTAGGTAACCGGGCCCAAGGTCATGGTGTAACACAAATTATATACCTTATAATTAATTCATTAGTGATGATAATCACAATACAATATGGCGGGCGTGGGTTGAAGCTGTGCGCGGGAGTCGACGCGACGCGACGCGACGCCATTGTCCGTTGTTTCCGGAAAAGCGAATAACATAGGGTCACAGGATGCATGAATTTAATATTTTTAAGATATAATATAAGAGAAAAGAACTCAAGATCTGTCTAAGAAATAACTCTAAATCGTTGTTTATTTAATGCACATTTACGTAACTATGGAGAAATCAATACATTGTCTTGAATTTGCCTACAGTGACTTTCGTCTTTGCCTAAATATACTGGTTGACAAAATATGTTCTCAATCTCTCTTTAGTTGATGGCACAAAAAGAATAGGTATTTCATAAAGTGTAATGATTTTCGTTGGGTCACCGACGTCGGTAAACATGCTATGGAAAATTAGCGATGCGTAGCGATGGTGTGATTTGCTCACATCGATGCTCTCCCATTGTCGTCCCCCTCTGAACGTGATTTAACTGAATTATGGTGTAGATATGTCCACTATTTGGTTTTGACTGTCCAGTGGTTCGCATGTGTTCTCGCTTCCAGTACTGTGAACTATAATCCTGTGTGATCTCTAGAAGTGCGTGGACTTGCTGGGTGTTTTATTAGCAAGTAGTGACTGCGTGCTACGATTTCTCTACGGTGTTTCGTAGCAGACCGCCTTACGAGGAAAGCTCAAGTAAGTGACCAGACACGCCCTTTGTTACGTTGGGCGGTACTTGTATCCAGTTTTAATATTACTTACGGGCCTGCTATATTTCATTTGTTATAGTATATATACATGAGTATTATCATTATGACAAATGATACATAGTTTTGTTTACAAATGTGTACATATTCAATAATAAAATGTAATAATAGAAGAGAACAAATAAAGACTGCTGTGTACTACTACTCGTTAATTTGGTTTTTTATTATAAACATCCATTATCGAATATGGTCAAATGTATACAGTAGATTTAACTTATAGACAATTGATTTATACAATATACAATACTTACTAGCTGTCTATCGCAACTTTTGCCGCGTGTTAATAGTTTCGTGTTCTTGTGGTCATTTTGGGATAGGATGTCTTGCATAATGGCTGAAATATAAAAAATAACACCAATTGTATATTGTGAACCTAAAGCTTTAAGTTTTTTAGCATAGATCTCCCAGTAAAGGTCCGTTTCTCTAAAAGTCACTACGAGTTTTGTGGCAGTGGTCTGGTATCCGTTTCATGTAATGATTGAGACGGACTGACTGAGTACATAATAGATTCAAAGGTTTTCTTACATTTTTTCTACGTAAATTGCGATTAATTGAAAGCCATCAGGTTTCAATTAATATGGTACCTAATTAACGACGTTTCTATTGTTAACAATATAACTAAGGTTACTATTACTAAGAATGCCTTCTTCGCCTATAAATTGTAACATATAAATAAATATGCAAATTTAACTTTATGAGTTTAAATATAGAGTTACTTTTAACTTTAGCATTTATTGTACTTACTGATGGAATGGATACATTTATTACAACTTTTTTATTTGTTAGCGTCTTCAGTTAGATTGAGCAGGCTGTTTCCTATCTATGTTATGTACTTCTTAATTGTTTGCGATGGTATTTAGTGGCTTTCTATTGATAAGTATATCATTTAACGATACGGTAGGGCGGAGCCGGTGCACCGTTGTGTGACTGCATTATGCAACGAGCGTGCAT